ATCTCAACATCAACTGTTCAGAGGGGACTGTGTGAATCAGGCCTTCATAGTTGAATTGCTCTAAAGAAACCACTACTAAAGGACACCAATAAGAAGAAGAGACCTGCTTGGGCCAAGAAACATGAGCAATGGACATTAGACTGGTGGAAATTAGTCCTTTGGTCTGGAGTCCAAATTGGAGATTTCTGGTTGCAACTGCCGTGTCTTTGTAAGACGCGGTGTGGGTGAACGGATGATCTCCGCATGTGTAGTTCCCACCGTAAAGCATGGAGGAGGAGGTGTTATGGTGTGGGGGTGCTTTGCTGGTGACACTGTCTGTGATTTATTTAGAATTCAAGGCACACTTAACCAGCATGGCTACCACAGCATTCTGCAGCAATACGCCATCCCTTCTGGTTTGGACTTAGTGGGACTATCATTTGTTTTTCAACAGGACAATGACTCCAGGCTGTGTAAGGGCTATTTTACCAAGAAGGAGAGTGATGGAGTGCTGAATCAAATGATCTGGCCTCCACAATCCCCCGACCTCAACCCAATTGAGATGGTTTGGGATGAGTCGGACGGCAGAGTGAAGGGAAAACAGCCAACAAGTGCTCAGCATTCCAGGTGAAGCTGGTTGAGAGAATGCCAAGAGTGTGCAAAGCTTTCATCAAGGCAAAGGGTGGCTATTTGAAGAATCTCCAATAAAAAATATATTTTGATTTGTTTAACACTTTTTTGGTTACTACATGATTCCATATGTGTTACTTCATAGTTTTAATGTCTTCACTATTATTCTACAATGTAAAAATAAAGACAAACCCTTGAATGAGGAGGTGTGTCCAAATTTATGACTGGTACTTTACATCAGAGCATAGGGTGCCAGCCAGGGCGCTTAGTTCAATGACAAACCATGTTTTCAAGGAAGTAGGCAAAGTGACATTCCTAGGTGTATTAAATGTCTGTGGTGGGTGTAGTGAGTATAGGCTGCTGTCTCTCCCACTACCGCCCTGTAGGTGTGTAGGCTGGGTCAGGGAGGTGCTGGGACATTCTCTTTCACTCTGTTGCTCATACTATTATGTCCTCACGGGAGGGGCAGGCAGAAGGCCTAATTATCAGCCACTAGACTAACTGCAAGGGAGCCCTGAGATGCTGTGTGAACCAACTAGAAAGCCCACTATCTGTTGTTGACAACACCGTACTGTGTGGCCTATATTGACCCACATGTTTCTTAAGCTGCTGTTGTTTCATTGGGTGGGGTGATATTCTGTACAGAGCGCCAGGATATATTTGGCAATAGCTTAATATTAGTGTAATTAATATATTATGTAATAATTGTCCCAACCCAAACCCCAAGGTAATTCAGCAGCATTGTGTGGCCTGTTGACGGATCTTCAGGGTTTGGGTGGAAATAACGCACTGTAGACTTCAATGGAAATTCACTATCATTACTGTTCCTCTCTGCTTCTGTATGTGTAATCAAATGGTCTCATGATAGAAGTCAATAAAACACAGTTATATTGCCACTTACACACCTGAAAGAGTTGAGCAACAGTATAGGCCATTAGCTCTATGTCTGGGCAAAATGAATGAAAACAATCTGAATAGTAACTGATGGTCAAATGTAATTAGATATTTTATGTTCTAATGAAATTGCTATAAAAAAACCTGCATGCATATTTTGTCAACACTAGTACATCTACAGTATTTTGGCTACAGTATATCCTGGATGTCAACAGGTTGTTGGTGGCCTGGCTTGGCATGGAGTGATGGGGTTCACACAGTGCTACTTGATAAGGTTTAGAAGGAGCTTAGCCCGACTAAGAATCTTGTGCGTTTAAAGATCTTACTCGTCTTTGCTCCATGTGGAGCTTAAGCCCACAACAAGACCACGCCATATGCCGGACGCTCCTTTACAGTTTAAAGATATACAGTGCATTCGGAAAGTATTCAGGTCCCTTGACTTTTTCCAAATGTTGTTATGTTACAGCCTTATTCTAAAATGGATTAAATATTTTTTTCCCCTCATCAGTCTACACACAATACCCCGTAATGACAAAGCAAAAACAGGTTTTTAGAATTTTTTGCAAATGTATAAAAAATTAAAAACTGAAAACATTTACATAAGTATTCAGACCCTTTACTTAGTACTTTGTTGAAACACCTTTGGCAGCGATTACAGCCTCAAGTCTTCTTAGGTATGACGCTACAAGCTTGGCACACCTGTATTCGGGGAGTTTCTCCCTTTCTTCTCTGCAGATCCTCTCAAGCTCTGTCAGGATGGATGGGGAGCGTCGCTTCACAGCTATTTTCAGGTCTCTCTAGAGATGTTTGATCGGGTTTAAGTCCGGGCTCTGGCTGGGCCACTCAAGGACATTCAGAGACTTGTCCCGAAGCCACTCCTGCCTTGTCTTGGCTGTGTGCTTAGGGTCGTTGTCCTGTTGAAAGGTGAACCTTCGCCCCAGTCTGAGGTCCTGAGCGCTCTGGAGCAGGTTTTCATCAAGGATCTCTCTGTACTTTGCTCCGTTCATCTTTCCCTAGATCCTGACTAGTCTCCCAGTCCCTGCCACTGAAAACATCCCCACAGCATGATGGTGCCACCACCATGCTTCACCGTAGGGATCGTGCCAGGTTTCCTCCAGACGTGACGCTTGGCATTCAGGCCAAAGAGTTCAATCTTGGTTTCATCAGACCAGAGAATCTTGTTTCTCATGGTCTGAGAGTCCTTTAGGTGCCTTTTGGCTAACTCCAAGCGGGCTGTTGTGCCTTTTACTGAGGAGTGGCTTTTGTCTGGCCACTCTACCATAAAGGGGTGATTGGTGGAATGCTGCAGAGATGGTTGTCCTTCTGGAAGGTTCTCCCATCTTCACAGAGGAACTCTGGACCTCTTGTCAGAGTGGCCATCGGGTTCTTGGTCACCTCCTTGACCAAGGCCCTTCTCCCCCGATTGCTTAGTTTGGCCCGGGCGGCCAGCTCTAGGAAGAGTCTTGGTGGTTCCAAACTTCTTCCATTATAGAATGATGGAGGCCGCTGTGTTCTTGGGGACCTTCAATGTTGCATAATTTTTTTGGTACCCATTCCATGATCTGTGCCTCGACACAATCCAGTCCCGGAGCTCTGCGGACAATTCCTTCGACCTCATGGCTTGGTTTTTGCTCTGGAATGCACTGTCAACTGTGGGACCTTATATAGACAGGTGTGTGCCTTTCCAAATCATGTCCAATCAATTGAATTTCCCACAGGTGGACTCCAATCAAGTTGTAGAAACATCTCAAGGATGATTAATGAAAACAGGATGCACCTAAGCTCAATTCTGAGTCTCATAGCAAAGGGTCTGAATACTTATGTAAATAAGGTATTACTGTTTTTGATTTTTAATAAATTTGCAAACAATTCTAAAAACCTGTTTTTGCTTTGTCATTATGGGGTATTGTGTGTAGATTGATGAGGGGAAAAAATTACTTAATCCATTTTAGAATAAGGCTGTAATGAAACAAATGTGGAAAAAGTCAAGGGGTCTGAATACTTTCCGAATGTGAATCAAAGGCTAATAATAGTCTTTCCTTTTCTCACTGCTTGAGCTTTGGCCAGGGCTTTGTCCGTGTATCCCTCTATTGGATAAGGGCACATAGATGCTAAATAGAGAGACAGTGTTGGTGATGTAATAATCCTGCCTGTAAGCTGTTGTTTGGCATACTATTGTCACTCCTGTACACAGATATACAGTACTGTATTAGAGATATCAAATTTGATTTGTCACATGGTTCGTAAACAACAGATGTAGATTAACAGTGAAATGCTTACTTATGGGCTCTTCCCAACAATGCAGAGAGAAAAATAGTAGAAAGATAACACAATCACAAGGAATAAATACACAATGAGTAACGATAACTTGGCTATATATACGGAGTACCAGTACCGAGTTGATGTGCAGGTGTACAAGGTAATTGAGGTAGATAATAAGCGGTAGCAGCAGCATATGTGATGAGTCAAAAGAGTTGGTACAAAGAGGGGTCAATGCAGGTAGTCCGGGTAGCTATTTGGTTAACTATTTAGCAGTCTTATGGCTATTTAGCAGTCTTATAGAAGCTGTTCAGGGTCCTGTTGATTCCCGACTTGGTGCATCGGTACCGCTTGCCGTGCTGTAGCAGAGGGAACAGTCTATGACTTAGATGACTTTTGACAATTTTTTGGGCCTTCCTATGACACCGCATGATATAGAGGTCCTGGATTGCAGGGAGCTCGGCCCCAGTGATGTACTCAATCAATCAATCAATCAATCAATCAAATGTATTTATAAACCCTTTTTACATCAGCAGATGTCCCAAAGTGCTAAACAGAAACCCAGCCTAACACCCCAAACAGCAAGTAATGCAGATGAAGAAGCACAGGTCGTACGCACTACCCTCTGTAGCACCTTGCGGTTGGATGACAACCAGTTGCCATACCAAGTGGTGATGCAGCCAGTCAAGATGCTTTCAATGGTGCAGCTGTAGAACTTTTTGAGGATCTGAGGGAAGAGGCGTTGTCGTGCCTTCTTCACAACTGTGTTGGTGTGTGTGGACCATGATAATTCCTTAGTGATGTGTACACCGAGGAACTTTAGCTCTCAACCCGCTCCACTACAGCCCCGTCGATGTAGATGGGGGCGTGCTCGGCCCTCTGTTTCCTGTAGTCCACGATCAGCTCCTTTGTCTTAGTGCCGTTGAGGATGGCTGTGTGTTGTGGAACTCTACCATGATATCACTGATCAAACTTTGTCACTGCTAAAAAAGGCCTGGCTTAAAAGCAATAGCATGAGTATGTAACATTTCCTAATCTTTAACCACATAGGCTGTAATAGAGAAATGCCACAATTTACACAAGGGAAGCTCTGCAGAATGGATCATCATGATGATTTTTGCCTCAAGTGTTAACATTTATTTCCTTCCTTTTTTCCCCCAGTTACTTCCCCATCTGTGACTTCCAGCCAATTAGCAGAGGCCCCCTGAAGCCCTGGCCCCTCCCGCTGTCCCTGTGCCATGCCGAAGAGTGACACGTGGCCGGGTGGCGTTGCCATGGAATCACTGATCAATATGGACAGCGCTGGGAGCTATGACAGTGTGGTCAGCATGAACTCTGGCTTTGTGCGTGCAGAAGCTATTTCCCCCTTTACCCTTAACCACTAACCAGGAGAATAGCTGAGACCCTGATTTCACCAGTTTATTGTTTATTTTGTTTATGTGCTGCACTGCTGCCTTTGTGGTAAACATTTTGGAATTGATCTAGCTAGAGGCAATGTGTCAAAAATTGAAAGAGCGCCTTTCTCGCTCCCGTCTTGGAATGGATGTATTGACTATAAATTGATATTCTTATATACAGTAGTACCACTGTCTCCCAATGCTAAGTCAGTGGGCTCCAGGGCTTGTTCATGTTGTGGGTGAGAGATTCAGATGTTTGTTCAGAGAGGGGCCTTTGAGGGGTTCCACAGAATGAGAGAGACATTAGAGAGAGCGACTGCTTTGAGGACCCAGTCTGTTCATTTCAGAGCTGTTCAGAGGCCCCTCACTAAAATCCACTGCAATACATTCCTCTGGCAGTGCAGTATAGGATGAAAGCTAAAAGCTAGCCGGGAGGAGTGCTGAGGTAATTTCTAATTCCATCCCTGCTGTGTGAAAGGTAAACGTAACTTTGATCCGCTCTGTGTCTACAGTCTCACTGGGCCTCAATGTGCTGTTCAGCCTAGCTGAAAGCAACACATAGACTGACTATTAAGAACTGAAAACCAAGCCAAAAGAGTTTGAAGGCCTCACCTAACTTTATACAAGGATATATTGTACACAGACATACCTCCCAGCTAGCACATTTGGTTCCTTGGAAGTTGTGGGAACGTATATTTTTGGTTTCACATTGGTTGTGGGAACAAAGCCATACGTTTCCTGACTGGTAAAACTGATTGTTTTTTAAACATTCTGAGAACAGAAGTGAACATTTCGCCTGTTCTGGGAATGTTTATTTTTAGGTTGCAGGGAGGATCTGAGAACATTTTCCTCTGGTTCCTTGAAAGTGTTCCTGGGAGGTTTTATTAATGCTCTGAGAACAGAAATGATAGGTTATTTGGAGGTTTTTTAATAATTTCCTTAAAACTTTCACTGAATGTTTTAATAACACTGCTAACTTATTTTGGGTTAACTTTTTTGAACTTCAAGCACAGATGGAAATTCATTTCCTTAGGCATTAATCATGTCTTTTTTATTGTGACACGGCATCAGTGAGATTCAAACCTATAATCTTCTGTTCTCTATCCATGGAATTAATCCACTGCGCCACCAGGATGGCGCTAGCATGCCATGTTTTTTTACGCATACAAAGCTGTTAATTTTAGTCTATTCAAACACACCCCATATAAGCACTCATTAAGATCAGGAGTTGCCAATTAGGGGGCATGGCCAACACACCTGAACACACTTAACATGATTGAGGATAGAGAGAGTTTTGTTGATGCTGAGAACGGAATGTAAATGTTTTAAAATAACATTCTTAGAACGTTCTCTGAACATTACCAAAGTTTTCTTGTGGTTTTTATGGAATGTTTTCTTAACGTTCTCGGAACAATTTGAGAACATTACTTTAAATAGAACCATGAGGAAACCTGTAGGAAATGTTATTCTGAAGGACTGAAATTCTCACAGAAAAACATTGTTTCTTAACCTTCTTGGAACAATTTGAGAACATTACTTTAAATAGAACCATGAGGAAACCTGTAGGAAACATTATGCTGAAGAACTGAAATTCCCACAGAAGAACATTGTTTCTTAACATTCTCTAAACTATTTGAGAACATTCTCAACGTCAAACCAGTTAGAGAACGTTCCTAGAACATTACCAAAATTCAAATTAAATGTAACCATGTTCTAACTTTTAGGAAACGTTCTGTTAAAGTAATGAAATACCAAGAATATATATCTTTTTTTTTGTCAAGTTCCTTAAATGTGCTGAGAATGTTCCAAAGCCAAGCAACTGTCCTGCACCATTCCCAGAAGTTGTGGGAAGGTTGTATACAAAATAACCATAGGACAACCACATATGGTTCTCAGAACATTATGTGCTAGCTGGGCTGTCATACAGTTCTACATACAGTAGTTATGTAATCTTGATTAAAGGGTAGCAATTAATTGCATTGTTATTTTATTCTGAATCTGTTTGTTCTCTACAGTTCCAGGTTGTCTATGTTTACGGGTTTCTTCTTTTTGTCGTCTTTGTGTTTGTGTTTGTGTGTGGGTGTGCGTGTGTGTGAGGTAGAGTGATGACAGTCTGGAGCACCTCTCTATTGAGGAGCGGGCGTGCCTCATGTTTCTGGAGTCCACCATTGAGTCTCTGGAGATGGAGGAGGACAGTGGCCTGTCCAATGATGAGCCAGACCCCAGCAGCCTGGCAGCCAAACATGGCCACCTCTCTATGGCACAGACTAGACTGGAGGGTGAGTACGACTAAAAATAGTTTGTTCACGTCTATGCAGTTGTTTTATCAGGATTTTCCCATGCAGGAGACTAACTAATGTGTCCAGGTTTTGGGTCAGGATTGTGCGAGCCAAGCTTAGCAACCTGTGAGAATTTTATAGTAAAATAATTCCTGCTGTTTCTGCGTGTCTTCTAGATGTGTCAAAACTCCAGCATGATGACTCAGGAAGAGATCAGAAGTCCTTTCTGAACTGCAGAGTGCCTACACCACTTCTACTGGCAAATGGCCTTGCCAGTATCCAGATCAAAGCCACAGGGGCAACCACCCATCCCAAGGCTCCAGGGGAAGCCACACAGCCCAGTGTCCCAACTGCAGCAATTGAGCCCAAAGCCCCAGTAGTAGCAACCCAGCCCAGTACCGCAGGGGCAGTCACTGATCTAAAACCCCCAAAGGTAATCACTGAACCCACAGTCCCAGAGGTAGTCACAGACCCTAAAGCTCCAAAGAAAGCAACTGTGCCCAAGACCTCAGAGTTGACTTCTGACATCAAAGCTCCTGGGTTGGCCACTATCACAAAAGTTCCGGTGCTGTCCACTGAGTCTAAAACCCCAGAGTTAGCTACAGACCCCAAAGCTTTTGAGTATGCCGTTAATTTTCAAGTCTCTGGATCGGAAACAACTCCTTCCTCAGCCACCTCAGATTTACCCAAAGATGATTCTGTGGACAACATGCCCAAAGGAGTCTCTGTAGACAGCAAGCCTGCGAAGTGCAACATTAAGGTTCCCTCTGAGCTGGATCTGAAGCTGATTCCCCCTCCCTCAGACTTCAGGGATGTTGAGCTAGAGGAAGAGAGTGATCCTCCAGTGCCTGCAGAACTCAGAGGTCCTCTGACCTACAGTGAGCTGGAGCAGCTACGCAGGCAGGTCTCCATGAAGAGAGCTGCACCAGCCTCACCTGGAACCCAAGAGGCACCACCTTCTAAACCCCATGTTGATCTGCCTGTCAGTACCCAAGCACCACTCTCCCCCTCAGATGTCCTACCCACCCCCATTACTGAGGCCCTGGAACCAAAGAGCCGGCCCGCTGTGGCCCCTAAGCCCAAGAGGCTTCCCTACAACATCATACTGAAGTTCCACAAGTTAGACAGTCACCCAGGCCCCTCTCTGCCCTCGCCCATTGACAGGTCGATGATTGACCCCCATAAGGTGCGCTTGGAGGCCCTACGGAAGCTCGGGCTCCTGAAGACTGAGGATGGAGACTCAGGCGCTGTAGTTTCATCCAAATCCCAGAAGTCATGTGCACCCCCTCCTTCTCCTCGCAGCCTGGTTGCCACCCAGACCAAAGCCTCAACCCAAATCCTTACCCCAGCTCCAGTCCCAGCCATCACCCTTACCCCAGTCCCTGCCATCACCTTTACCCCAGTCCCTGCCCCAGCACTAACCCCAGCCCTAGTCCCAGCCCCAGTTTCAGCGACTACCCCAGCCCCTCCCACTACCCCAATCCCAGCCCCAGTCCCCGTCCCAGCCACTACCCCAGCCCCAGTCCCAGCCCAATTCAGTGACAATGCCAAACCTCTGCCCTCACCTGCTACACTTCCTTCACCACCCAAGCATATTCCCCCTCCCATAAGGGTTAGATCAGCCACTCTGGAGCGCTCTGGCATGGGCCTGAGCAGCTACATGGCCAGCAATGCCTCCCTCAGGGCTAACCGAGGTCCCAATGTCCCACTGTTCCCTGGCGACCTGCGCAACTCTAGACCCCGCCCCGCCTCCCTAGGAACTGGGAAAGACTTTGTGAATGTTCAGGGTGAGGCCTCCCACCCCCAGCCAGGTCATGGGGGGTCCCAGAACAAGCTGCCCTGCTCCCATGGCATCAGTGTGCTCATCTGCCCCAAAAGCAAGAGTGGAGAGGCCCGACGGGAGGCCCTGAAGAAGCTAGGACTGCTGAGGGACTGAGGGCACGAAGAGGGGCAATGGAACTGCACCATTACAGGATCCATATGAGGAGTGAGTTCTGAGGAGGAGGAATGTTCTTAATATGGATTCCGTACAACTAAGCCCTCCTCTAGTATTTGGTCACTGGGACACTTACATGTATGGGAAGATTATTCTCCCCATAAAAATGCCTCTTTGAAGCAATATGCAAGGAGCACTATTTGATTGATGGAGGATTGCTTGGCTCTACAGACAGCTATAGTGTATATTTATAGAGGGGAGTGTCTTTTTGCCTTCTTACTGCATAGAAATGCTGTATGTACCCCCAAGACTGCCTTTTAATAAATATCATGATTACAGTATCATACTACTATGAGATACTACACTAACTACAGTATGCAGTACAGTAGGTAAATGAAAGGCTGTTTGTGAACCTCATTTGACATATTCAGTAATTTTCTAAATAAAATAATATAAACTCCATGTAGGGATGTTTGTGTGTTATAAAATTGTATGGCAGACCAATACACAATCTGTTTTCTCAAATGGCGAATACACCTGATGGTATTGTTACAGTTAGGGATGTGCCTTTATAACTTCTCCTTTCACGTAACCTTTGACAAGAATACCATTGTTTTAACTTCCTAAAATTCCTCTAACCTCACCTTAAAGTTATTGTTTTTTGGAGGACCATGGCAACCAGTAAAGAAATGTTGCTGCTGATTTGCAATTTGACTCTCTGACTCAATTCAATGTGTCAAAATAATTTGTTTGATGTAGTGATTGGCAGTTTTCATGGAACCAAATTAAAAGGTAGAAAAATTCACTACTACATAGCCTATAGTACAGTACGTAGATAGAAGCTTCAGTCAGTCAGTGGCCAGTCAGTGATAGGAATCTGAAACATGGTTTTAGGTGTGACGCACATCACAACCCATACAAACTGGTTGCTGAGCAGCAGCCACAATGTCCAATATAGGTCTGTCAGTGGTAAGCATGAGAGATGATTGAAATACTGTTTTTCTAGTTGAGAGAGCGAGTTCCTGATGGTTCTAAGATTGTATCAGTTCATGTAGTTACTATTCATTGTCTGTCAAAATTCATTTTTTACATTTTAGTCATTTTAGCAGACACACTTATCCAGAGCGACTTACAGTTAGTGAGTACATACATTTTTCATACTGGCCCCCCGTGGGAATCGAACCCACAACCCTGGCGTTTGCAAACGCCATGCTCTACCAACTGAGCTACACAGGGCCATCACACTCAAACTGTTAGCATAGCATTTAGAATTGAAAGACAAGGGAAAGGGAATGCCTAGTCAGTTGCACAACTAAAGGCATTCAAATGTCTTCCGCATTTAACCCAACCCCTCTGAATCAGAAGTGGTTCATTAAGTGTTACCCGTGGCAGGACTTTCTAAACCATGTCAATGGTTTGGTTTGTAAATAGAGAATAAACCTTGAAACTATCTTCATATGAACTCTTAAATTTATACAACACTTTTAACGTGATGAGTATGGTATAGTGCTATATAATATGAAATGGTTGGTCCAATGGATGTGACACAAAACTGGAGGAACCTTTCATTAACTCATATCAACCTTTCTGTGCTGCAACAACCTTTCTATTCCATCTATTATTGTTCAAGCTCTGTATGACTTGATTCAATGGTTTATCATTTAGAAAGATTTGTGATTCAAATTTTAAACATGGTTTACACACCCTTGTTATTAAGGGGTACTAAATATAGCTGCTCACCGTAGCATTTTGACAATGTGTATTAGGGCTGGATTCAATCTGTATCACAGAAGTACAGTGGGGAAAAAAAGTATTTAGTCAGCCACCAATTGTGCAAGTTCTCCCACTTAAAAAGATGAGAGAGGCCTGTAATTTTCATCATAGGTACACGTCAACTATGACAGACAAAATGAGAGAAGAAAATCCAGAAAATCACATTGTAGGATTTTTAATGAATTTATTTGCAAATTATGGTGGAAAATAAGTATTTGGTCAATAACAAAAGTTTCTCAATACTTTGTTATATACCCTTTGTTGGCAATGACACAGGTCAAACGTTTTCTGTAAGTCTTCACAAGGTTTTCACACACTGTTGCTGGTATTTTGGCCCATTCCTCCATGCAGATCTCCTCTAGAGCAGTGATGTTTTGGGGCTGTCGCTGGGCAACACAGACTTTCAACTCCCTCCAAAGATTTTCTATGGGGTTGAGATCTGGAGACTGGCTAGGCCACTCCAGGACCTTGAAATGCTTCTTACGAAGCCACTCCTTCGTTGCCCGGGCGGTGTGTTTGGGATCATTGTCATGCTGAAAGACCCAGCCACGTTTCATCTTCAATGCCCTTGCTGATGGAAGGAGGTTTTCACTCAATCTCACGATACATGGCCCCATTCATTCTTTCCTTTACACGGATCAGTCGTCCTGGTCCCTTTGCAGAAAAACAGCCCCAAAGCATGATGTTTCCACCCCCATGCTTCACAGTAGGTATGGTGTTCTTTGGATGCAACTCAGCATTCTTTGTCCTCCAAACACGACGAGTTGAGTTTTTACCAAAAAGTTCTATTTTGGTTTCATCTGACCATATGACATTCTCCCAATCCTCTTCTGGATCATCCAAATGCACTCTAGCAAACTTCAGATGGGCCTGGACATGTACTGGCTTAAGCAGGGGGACACGTCTGGCACTGCAGGATTTGAGTCCCTGGCGGCGTAGTGTGTTACTGATGGTAGGCTTTGTTACTTTGGTCCCAGCTCTCTGCAGGTCATTCACTAGGTCCCCCCGTGTGGTTCTGGGATTTTTGCTCACCGTTCTTGTGATCATTTTGACCCCACGGGTGAGATCTTGCGTGGAGCCCCAGATCGAGGGAGATTATCAGTGATCTTGTATGTCTTCCATTTCCTAATAATTGCTCCCACAGTTAATTTCTTCAAACCAAGCTGCTTACCTATTGCAGATTCAGTCTTCCCAGCCTGGTGCAGGTCTACAATTTTGTTTCTGGTGTCCTTTGACAGCTCTTTGGTCTTGGCCATAGTGGAGTTTGGAGTGTGACTGTTTGAGGTTGTGGACAGGTGTCTTTTTTACTGATAACAAGTTCAAACAGGTGCCATTAATACAGGTAACGAGTGGAGGACAGAGGAGCCTCTTAAAGAAGAAGTGACAGGTCTGTGAGAGCCAGAAATCTTGCTTGTTTGTAGGTGACCAAATACTTATTTTCCACCATAATTTGCAAATAAATTCATTAAAAATCCTACAATGTGATTTTCTGGATTTTTTTTTCTTCTCAATTTGTCTGTCATAGTTGATGTGTACCTATGATGAAAATTACAGGCCTCTCTCATCTTTTTAAGTGGGAGAACTTGCACAATTGGTGGCTGACTAAATACTTTTTTTCGCCACTGTATCACGGAAGATCCACGTTATAGCTCGATAGAAATTTTAAGGCAATGTTCGCAGAGACTGCATTCACAGTAAACATTGCATATGTCGGCTCAATCGGAAATTACCTTTACATTTTAAATCAGATCTTCCGCGATACGTAGTGGATCCAGCCATAAATTAAATTCTACAGCACTGGATACAATCTCAGTACAATTTTGGATTAAATTGATGCTAGAAGGATTTTCTTGTCCCAGTTTCAAGGGTCAGTCAGAAAGACCAGTACCCTAACCCAGTACACAAAATACTACCTGACACACCCCTTATTCATTGATTTTAAGAAATGGTTATTGACTGAGATGTCCTCAGTCTCATACACATCTTTAAAGAAAAGGACTACCTTAAGACATCAAATAATATTAGAAATTAAACTCAATTACAGTATGTTTATTTTGATAAGTGTTTTCATTTCACCTCTGTACATACACTTATTTTTTTTACTTTTTTTTTAACTGTTGATAAAGTTACATGTACGTGTGCATCTTCATCTTTATGGGTTGAACACAGTGGACGAGCATTTTAAAGAACAAACGAGAGCTACAAGAAATGTAAGAACACCAATTCCATTCATTTAAAAAGACAATACAAAATCCAGACATTTTTACATGAGCAATAACAATTTTCAAGTGCAAATACCATTATCAACTCTATGATACATCATAGCAAACGCATGTTTTTAAAAAAAACTACAAAACAGAAACATATGATGTGTTCAGGTTGCAGGGACAGAGGGAGGATGATGAAGGAGAGAGGGAATGGTGTGTTGGGGTATGTGGGAGCAGTGAGCGCTATGGACTGTTGCTATTGACATCGAAATGCTGAAATTAAAAAGCAAACAGGATGATATAAATACTAATGGCAACTTAAGAAAACCATAAATGTAGCTAGGCTTTTTTTGGAAACATTCAAAGGGATACAGATAATGGCATTATGTGTGACGTGTATTAAACAGTTCCTCGTATGAGGTTTGCAAAGCTAGGCCACCCTTGTCTTACAATTTAGCAATGTGGTCAAAATCCCTTTCCCTTATCCATAAGCACATGTGCTTACAACTATCTAAAGGTCATGTACAGTAGCTTTTACTGTTTACACTGTTTAATTTCTCTTTTATATACAAAAAAAACCCTGAAAAACAACTAACCATCAGAGTTTGCAAGGGAAATCCATATGATGTTTAGGAGCAGTAATATATTTATTTGTCTTCAACGAGGGTTTGAGAGTGTTAGGATTACTTGTTATCATTGTCATCAGCTTTTACATTGACAATGCAATTGTTAGCAATAATTAAATTGCAATATTATTGTATTGATCAACTATATTGGTATTTCAACATTATTGTAGTGGGATGCTGAACTTTATTCACAACCCTAGGAGATCCAATAATATGTTCTCAATATGTGTTGGCAGATTTAAACATTGTTTTGTAGTATTTCTCTGGACACAGAGAGAGGAGTAACACAATGGAGACTTAATTCATTGCACTTATACAACAAAGGTAGGATGACAGGCTCTAGATCTAGTGCACAAGATAATAACTTGGCCTGCCGTGCAGGCAGTCTTTGGAAGAGCTGGTCTTATTGGGACAGAATCTGACATGGGCGTTTGGGAAGGAAGGGGGCTGGCTGGGGTCCTTGGATTAGGGAGAGGGTGAAGAGGACATGGGTGGAAAATAGTTTGGGGTCCTGCTCAAGTTAATTAGGATTAAAAGGATTCAATCCTCATCTAATTTATTTTCATTATTTACAAGATTGAAAGACAAATTCAATAAAATTGGTTGGTAGTCCACGGATGAAGAGACAAATGTGATGTGACTATCAATTTACATGAGGACAGGTGGTAGAATTGTATTTATGATGCATCTCTCTCAACTTTATTTTATATTAAAGCAGGAGTGTCAAACATACAGCCTGTGAGGAGGTCCAATCCGGCCCGCGGGTGGTTTGAGTAAAACAATAAAAACATAAACGTTAAAATGACTAAAACCAAATTGAAACTGTGTAGAAATGATAATGGACCTATATTCATACAGTTTCTTGACTGTGTCCAGATCGCTAATAATCACTAGACAGTCAGGGAGCATTGAAAATTCCCAAAACGATCGATAGAGGACAATATTTTGAAATGTTTAACAGCAAGAAAATATTTAAACAATTCAGTGCGGCCCTCCGGACCTTGTTGAAGACCGAATGCGGCCCCCGGAGCAAAATGAGTTTGACACCCCTGTATTAAAGCAATGGACTATTAGTGTGATGCGAGGTCAGAAAACACCAGAAAGAGAACTTGAGATTGAATAATTAAAGTGACCTTTTTAAAAGAAGCAGCAAACGTATGTCCCTCAAAGACATTTCTCTGTCTCTCTCTCACAGAGTCGTGTCCAACAAATACATTTCTCTGTCTCTCTCTCACAGAGTCGTGTCCAACAAAGACATTGTCTGTATCACAGAGGCGTGTCCCTTAATTAAAACGTCTCTCTGTCTCTCCCTCACCAGTCATGGTCCACAGAGACATAGAGATATTTCTCTCTCTCTCTCCTGTGGCTTTCACAAATCTAGTTTTCTATTTATTTTCCAAAATGTCCATCACGTTCTGGAAAAAATTATAAACTACATTGTATGCGCTTTGTTAAGTTAACTTGGATATAGAATAACAGAAAATGTCTGAAGGTAGGGAACAGACAGTTATACAATCTGGAAAGAAGAAAAAAAACATAGAATAACTGTTTTAACAGTAATACCTTAACAAGAAGTTGCTCTAAGAGCTCAAATATAGTAAGGCTTTGAATGTTGTGGAATGTAACTATGACATGAAACTGACAGGTCCTTCTCCTTGAGGAGTGTTCATGGAGGATATAGATCTACAAAAGGTTATACATTTATCAAAACAGACTCGTCCTGGCATGGATAGAGCTGAAGCTGGAACTCAAGTGAAATACTATTTATTAAAGCACATTTACGATAACTCCGTTCCAGCTCTAAACAAATGTGACAAACATATTACCCTTGTAACATCCTTCTTCTTGTCTGACATAAATGCCACTACCGTTGTCCATTTTGTCAACACAGACTTAACATGCGTCATCTGAAATACGCACACATCCTTCTCATTGGGGATTGCTGTGAAAATGACATACAAGGTCATATATGCTAATAGAAACATGAATGACAACAGCAAAAAAACTAAGAAAGACACCAACATATTGTAGTGGTGATAAATATTCAGAAAGAAGAGATGAGCAAGACAGCCTGTACTGTACTTTGACTCAAGTTGGTTGACTTCAGAGACTGTATGGTTTTGGAGGAAATGAAACGGCTTAAAACCAAACAGATGAAGAAGATCAACATATGAGACTGCATAGTGAAGTGTGTCGTCAAAGCCTACAGTTTGAAAAAATAGAAGAAAAAATAGTAATTTTGTCAACTTGTTTAAAGTCCTGTGAGAGTTCGGTGTTTGGCCTGTACGAGGGGGCGGGGTCTGGTGCTTTAGGGGCGGGGTTTGGTGTGGCAACTACTTATATGGTCGCAAGAAGCCGGAGACTTTGCTGCTTATGAGGCGTATGAAGGAGCGCGGCAGCATCTCGTTGGACTCCCGAGTGGTGTACTTGAAGTAGTTGTTTGGGTGGGCCAGCACGTCGAAGAGAGTTTTAATCAGCTTTTTATCCTGATAGGAAGAAGACAACAACACAGCACACTTAAACAATTATATGACAAGTATACAATTATTTATTCAGAGAATACCTGACTTGAACATGAACATGACCCACGGAGGGATGCAGTAGTACGTATCTTAGCAACAGGCACTAACCTTTAGGATTTCTTGATGGTTTTCAGAGGCATAGAGTCGTCCATCCCTGACAATGTCCTCTACAAGCTGTTCATAATCCTCTGTAAATACACAAAAAAACATGATACATTAAACACCAAACATCTCAGAATCGGAGGACTTACCCACTCTGTTTCATCATTGAGAGTTCATGTGGTGGGTGAGAGTTTACCGTCATAAGTAACATAGGGGATCTGGAAGCCTCGGGCACTGTTAGCCTCGTTGGACTTGAAGTTGATCCAGAGTCTGCGGGAGCGGGCGGTGAAGGCGATGGGTCGCTCATACGTCTGACACGTCTCATAGGTGGTGATGGACGTGGCCGACCCTGGAAGAACGGACATGAAAGACAGAGAAGATTGACTAAATACTCTAACTTGGCATATTGGATTTATATTATGGTTGTGGAACACCACACTGGTTTATAGAGGAGGCTGGTCAGGGGAGGACGGCTCATAATAATGTCTGGATCAAATGGAATGGTATCAAACACGTGCTGGGATATATGAGAGGTTCTCACAGTTCTTCCTCATAACCAGTACGTCTCCACACTCATCCTCTGAGGGCAGGAAGATCTCAGGCACCACGATGAGGATCTTGCGCTTGCTGGGCGGGTTGATGTTCCAGATGCATTCCACGTTAGCTGGGTAGTTCCCGGGGTAGTTGGGGGACTCAATGTAACCTGTGAACTCGCCCATCTCTCCTCCGCATTCTCGGTCTAACATATACACACAAAAATGCACATTATTAGTGAATCCATCTGGAGCCTTGGAAAGAGAGACAATATTTAAAAAATAAAATAGATTTTCATTTGGCTGGATAAATGAAACATTTTTCAATTAGTCAGGTGGGGATTTCGGATACATTTTGATAATTTATGCATCCTGTATTTTGAATTTTATATTCTGAGAAAAGGCATGGACCTTTTGAAAGTCCAAAAGTGAAAGATTTTCCTTTTGAAAATGCATCCTGTATGCAGATAGCAGGTTTATACAATCAGGCCCTTACTCTTGCACTGAGAGACACTGGTGGCCCCATCAAAGTCTGTAGTGGTGTTGCCAGGACAGGTGATGCAATAGTTCTGTCTGAACTCTGTCTGGTAGGTGCCCAGAGGGCAACGAATACACCGGTGCACCGTAGTGTTGTAGTAGTGGCCAGGGGAGCACTGAACTGCAGAGAGGAGAGGGACGACGCATACACACATTTACAAACCAGATCTGAGATTAAATATTGAACCAATTGCACAAATCTGAGGATCTCTCTTGTGGTGATGTGTGTTTTGTCCTACATTTTTCATTTTAATCACCGGTCCCCACAGGAGGCCTTTTGCCTCTTGGTAGGCCATCATAGTAAATAAGAATTTGTTCTTAATTGACTTGCCTAGTTAAAGGTTAAATAAATATGATGTAACTGGTTGGATAAACCACTGACCTTTGACCTCACAGTCGTGGAAGGAGCTGGCCCCCTCCCGCTTGGTGCTCAGCCCCCCTCCGCAGGGGAAGCATAGGGTCCGTCCCAGGTCTGGCTGGTAGGAGCCATACGGGCATGGCTGGCATGGTTTAAACCCATCACTGGAGTAGTACCCAGTAGGGCACTGACCTTGATGTAGACAACAGTGACAATAAACATTTTCAGTCAGATAGAGATGTACAGTACACTGTGCTACACTCCACTATAGGCTATTGCACAATGTTGGCACATGCAGACATGGACATTAGTGCGCTCTGCCATAAGGGGTGTGTATGTACCTGCGCAGGAGGAGATGTTGCGTGCCCCGGCAGGTCCATGCCCGTCACTTCCAGGGCACAGGTCACAGGCCAGCTGCCCCTCCCTCTCCTGGAAGGTGCCAGGTGGGCACTGGACGCAGCGCTCCTGTTCCCCGTGGTAGTATGATCCCGGCAAACATCTGACTGAGAGAATAGCCAGGGGGTCTCTGGTGAGAGAGCTATACAGACCAGTACATACACTGACACCAAACACTCCTGGCTCCAAACTAACTAACACAGCTCAGGAGATGTTTGTGTATTCAGTACATAAATACATAAGAGTCATAAATAGTCATGACAACGGATGTCAGCTTATGGTTTGTGTCATGACATTGTCTTGACTGTTTATAACATCTGTTATATTAGCATTATATCAGTTTCAGGCAGAGTCTGGTGGTGGTAACTAGTGACAGAGAAAGATGTCTGACTAACTGTTCTTACCACAGTGTCCGCTATCCTTCTCACGGCCTGGCCCACAGTTCTCATGGCCTGAGGCGACCTGGGGCAGCTTCTGGGCCACCTCATACTCCAGCCCAGCCACGCGGATCAGGAAACGGTCCTGGTTGATCGACTTCTTCAGGGCCTTGATGTACGTCTTCACTTGCTTTTCCATGCGCTGGCGCAGGCAACTCAGGTTACAGCTCCCTATGGGGGAGAAGGGGCAGTACAGGGCAATATTATCTGTAACTGTGCCAGCAGATCAATCAATCAATCAAAATATATTTATAAAGCCTTTTTTGCATCAAGTGCTTAACCCGGCCCAGACCCACAAAGAGCAAGCAGCAGCACAGTGGCAAGGAGGTATATCAAAGAGGACATCTTGTAAATCCCAGTAATGGTGTACAGACAGACTGACCTGTGGTGTCCCCTGGCTTGACCTCCGCCTCTAACTCAAGGGTGATGCGTGTCACTTCCTTGTTGGTGGGGTTGCGGGCACGACGCCCTTTGGTCTTCTTGGTAGAGTCACATTTGAGGTTGACAAACGTCACCAGGCAATTATTGCAGGGCTGTCCACCTCCTAGGGGCATAAATGTTACCTTGTGTCAGGAATTAGGATCCATTTGAGGTCTTTCATGGGTTAGTTAGGGGAGCACTGGTCTGTTAACAACAGCATATTAGACAGATTACTGGCTTCAAGGCACAATCACATTGATAGTTGCTATGTAGCGTACATAACAGCCCACAAACCCCCAAATGTGCTGCTTGATATGCACATACTGAATATAAGACATACAGAGAAAAATAATGCAGGTCTTTCTGTAAGGCCATCATTACCAAGGTCTGGCATGTAGGCCGGATGTGGCCCCTCACCTGGCCCCAGCGCTCGGCCCCTGTCCTCGGCCCGGCCCGTCAGCTTGGGGTGCAGGTGGCACTTGGCATCTTTGATCTTGAAAGAGGCAGTCTGCTTCACTGGAGGGGCCCCTGTCTCTACAGGTAAACAGAGCAGTGTAGGTGGATGGGTGTAAAGAAGGATTACACTTGAATAGAACCATTCAGTCCAAGAAACAGTGGCAAAGATAGGAACACGATACAAATACATTGATACTGACCACAATCCTAACCCTAGCTCCAGATATAGCCCTATCCCTAACCCTAGCTCCAGATATAGCCCTATCCCTAACCCTAGCTCCAGATATAGCCCTATCCCTAACCCTAGCTCCAGATGTAACCCTATCCCTAACCCTAGCTCCAGATGTAGCCCTATCCCTAACCCTAGCTCCAGATATAGCCCTATCCCTAACCCTAGCTCCAGATATAGCCCTATCCCTAACCCTAGCTCCAGATGTAACCCTATCCCTAACCCTAGCTCCAGATGTAGCCCTATCCCTAACCCTAGCTCCAGATGTAGCCCTATCCCTAACCCTAGCTCCAGATGTAACCCTATCCATAACCCTAGCTCCAGATGTAGCCCTATCCCTAACCCTAGCTCCAGATGTAACCCTATCCCTAACCCTAGCTCCAGATGTAACCCTATCCCTAACCCTAGCTCCAGATGTAACCCTATCCCTAACCCTAGCTCCAGATGTAACTCTATCCCTAACCCTAGCTCCAGATGTAACTCTATCCCTAGCCCTAGCTCCAGATGTAACCTTATCCCTAACCCTAGCTCCAGATGTAACCCTATCCCTAACCCTAGCTCCAGATGTAGCCCTATCCCTAACCCTAGCTCCAGATGTAGCCCTATCCCTAACCCTAGCTCCAGATGTAACCCTATCCATAACCCTAGCTCCAGATGTAGCCCTATCCCTAACCCTAGCTCCAGATGTAACCCTATCCCTAACCCTAGCTCCAGATGTAACCCTATCCCTAACCCTAGCTCCAGATGTAACCCTATCCCTAACCCTAGCTCCAGATGTAACTCTATCCCTAACCCTAGCCCTAGCTCCAGATGTAACCTTATCCCTAACCCTAGCTCCAGATGTAACCCTATCCCGAACCCTAGCTCCAGATGTAACCCTATCCCTAACCCTAGCTCCAGATGTAACCCTATCCCTAACCCTAGCTCCAGATGTAGCCCTATCCCTAACCCTAGCTCCAGATGTAACCCTATCCCTAACCCTAGCTCCAGATGTAACCCTATCCCTAACCCTAGCTACAGATGTAACCCTATCCCTAACCCTAGCTCCAGATGTAACCCTATCCCTAACCCTAGCTCCAGATGTAACCCTATCCCTAACCCTAACTCCAGATGTAACCATATCCCTAACCCTAGCTCCAGATGTAACCCTAGCTCCAGATGTAACCCTATCCCTAACCCTAGCTCCAGATGTAACCATATCCCTAACCCTAGCTCCAGATGTAACCCTATCCCTAACCCTAGCTCCATATGTAACCCTATCCCTAACCCTAACCCTAGCTCCAGATGTAACCCTATATCTAACCATAGCTCCTGATGTAACCCTATCCCTAAGCCTAGCTCCAGATGTAACCCTATCCCGTGGTCCTCTGTAGCTCAATTGGTAGAGCATGGAGCTTGTAACGCCAGGGTTGTGGGTTCGATCCCCGGGACCACCCATACGTAAAAATGTATGCACACATGACTGTAAGTCGCTTTGGATAAAAGCGTCTGCTAAATGGCATATTATTATTATTATTATTATCCCTAACCCTAGCTCCAGATATAGCCCTATCCCTAACCCTAGCTCCAGATATAGCCCTGTCCCTAACCCTAGCTCCAGATGTAACCCTATCCCTAACCCTAGCTCCAGATATAGCCCTAACCCTAGCTCCAGATGTAACCCTATCCCTAACGCTAGCTCCAGATGTAGCCCTATCCCTAACCCTAGCTCCAGATGTAACCCTATCCCTAACCCTAGCTCCAGATGTAACCCTATCCCTAACCCTAGCTCCAGATGTAACCATATCCCTAACCCCAGCTCCAGATGTAATCCTATCCCTAACCCTAGCTCCAGATGTAACCCTATCCCTAATCCCAGCTCCAGATGTAACCCTATCCATAACCCTAGCTCCAGATGTAACCCTATCCCTATCCCTAGCTCCAGCTGTAACCCTATCCCTAACCCTAGCTCCAGATGTAACCCTATCCCTAACCCTAGCTCCAGATGTAACCCTATCCCTAACCCTAGCTCCAGATGTAACCCTATCCCTAACCCTAGCTCCAGATGTAACTCTATCCCTAACCCTAGCTCCAGATGTAACTCTATCCCTAGCCCTAGCTCCAGATGTAACCTTATCCCTAACCCTAGCTACAGATGTAACCCTATCCCGAACCCTAGCTCCAGATGTAACCCGATCCCTAACCCTAGCTCCATATGTAACCCTATCCCTAACCCTAACCCTAGCTCCAGATGTAACCCTATCTCTAACCATAGCTCCTGATGTAACCATATCCCTAACCCTAGCTCCAGCTGTAACCCTATCCCTAACCCTAGCTCCAGATGTAACCCTATCCCTAACCCTAGCTCCAGATGTAACCCTATCCCTAACCCTAGCTCCAGATATATCCCTATCCCTAACCCTAGCTCCAGATATAGCCCTGTCCCTAACCCTAGCTCCAGATGTAACCCTATCCCTAACCCTAGCTCCAGATATAGCCCTATCCCTAACCCTAGCTCCAGATATAGCCCTATCCCTAACCCTAGCTCCAGATATAGCCCTATCCCTAACCCTAGCTCCAGATGTAACCCTATCCCTAACCATAGCTCCAGATGTAACCCTATCCCTAACCCTAGCTCCAGATGTAACCCTATCCCTAACCCTAGCTCCAGATGTAACCCTATCCCTAACCCTAGCTCCAGATGTAACCCTATCCCTAACCCCAGCTCCAGATGTAACCCTATCCCTAACCCTATCCCTAACCCTAGCTCCAGATGTGACCCTATCCCTAACCCTAGCTCCAGATGTAACCCTATCCCTAACCCTAGCTCCAGATGTAACCCTATCCCTAACCCTAGCTCCAGATGTAACCCTATCCCTAACCCTAGCTCCAGATGTAACCCTATCCCTAGCCCTAGCTCCAGATGTAACCCTATCCCTAACCCTAACTCCAGATGTAACCCTATTCCTAACCCTAGCTCCAGATGTAACCCTATCCCTAACCCTAACTCCAGATGTAACCCTATCCCTAACCCTAGCTCCAGATGTAACCATATCCCTAACCCTAGCTCCAGATGTAGCCCTATCCCAAACCCTAGCTCCAGATGTAGCCCTATCCATAACCCTAGCTCCAGATGTAGCCCTATCCCTAACCCTAGCTCCAGATGTAACCCTATCCCTAACCCTAGCTCCAGATATAGCCCTATCCCTAACCCTAGCTCCAGATGTAACCCTATCCCTAACCCTAGCTCCAGATGTAACCCGATCCCTAACCCTAGCTCCAGATGTAACCCGATCCCTAACCCTAGCTCCAGATATAGCCCTATCCCTAACCCTAACTCCAGACACAACCTTCTACCAAAGTCCTAAGAATGAGTCTGTTTCTGTGGGACACCGTACCTATGCAGCTCTGACTGCTGCTTGTGTTCAGTCTGGCTGGGGTTTTGCCTCGAAGGATGGGGATGCCACAGCTCACTGTATAGCTGCTGTCAGATTCTGCAAAGGATGAAACATATCGTTACAGCTTCAGTCAGAAGTAATTCAAATCAATAATAGCATATCACTTTAAGAGAATAAGAGCTGCAGCAATGTGAATGGACTTATTGTATGTGGATGTCACTACCTGCCAGATAGTGAGCCTTGGAGGCACAGGTGAGGGAGCAGCTCTCTTTCTTGCCCGTTTTACTGCAGGTCAGAGTGGTCTTGGGAGCTAGGCCAGTCAGACATTTCACCAGCTCTGGATGAACATAAAAACAACATCACACAATCATACACTACTCTTTAAAGGTGCAATATGCAGAAATCGCATATTGCATATGAATAGTTTGCCTAATTTCAGTTTACGTGACAAAAAAAGCAATTAATAGTGTAGAGAATCATTGTACCATCTAAACCGCTGTGAAATATATTTTCAATAACCGCTTCTTAGACTTGCTTTCAATGAGAATGACAGATCTATAACTCTTATTTCTATGTGAATTTGGTCAGGTCGCCCAAAAAGTTACACATTTCCGCTTTAATTACACCATCCTTTCCATGACTTGGAACCAAACCAATGTTTCTATCTTCTGACCACTGGGTGGCGGTGTTGTTACATACCAATGCAGTCCTTCTTGTTCCAGTGAAGCTTGTATCCAGGTGGACAGGTACACTCGTAGCTGCCCAGAGTGTTGACACAGCCATATTTACAGCCACCGCGGTTTATACTGCACTCATCAATATCTGCAAAGGGAAACAGAGCGTTATGACCATGTATGTCTAGACACAGAGTCCAATACACTCTTTTACATTTTAGCAGACACTTATCCAGAGCGACTTACAGGAAAAATTAGGGTTAAGTGCCTTGCTCAATGGCACATAGACCGATTTTTCACCTAGTCAGCTCAGGGATTCGAACCAGCAACCTTTTGGTTACTGTCCCAATACTCTTAACCGCTAGGCTACTTGCTGCCCCACACTCATATGAGTGGAAATCCAAAACACACCAAACGCATAGACATATGCACAAACACTCACTCACTCCGTAAACCTGGTTGCATCAATATAACGGAGCTATCATGATAGATGAGAGAGAATAATCGAAAGAAACAAAAGAGAACGTGTTCTGACAGCTGCAAATCAACAGAGTTTCTGACAGCTGCAAATCAACAGTTTCTGACAGCTGCAAATGAACAGTTTCTGACAGCTGCACATGAACAGAATTTATGTGAGGTCAATTCTACTGTCAGTGATCACTTCTACAGAAGATGAATGTGTGTTATGGTAAACCGGGCTGACTGCTCATTTGAAGTCTAATCCAGGGCATGTGATATCACTGCTCTGCATTTCCCCTTGGTTGGAACTTCAACTTCTCTTCCACCAAAGCTCACTCTCTTTGGGAATAATAACATTTGGAGGGACTTTGCAGAGCCAGATAGGAGTAAATTATAATCACTTTTTAACACACAGAAACCAAAACCACTCAAACCATACAGGAACCAGATGGAGGTTGCCTAGAAAATTACATTATTAGTGTGATGAAGGGGACAAGGCAAGGCGGTGTGGCTCGGGGCTGAGCGCTCAGCCAGGCTAAGTGACAAGGACACCAGCAGAGGAACACAGATAATGACAGTGATTGATGATGTGGCCTGCTGATAGAAAATGTTCATCCCTGTTCCGTACGGCGTGAATAAAAACAGTCTGCGAGCCTCCGCTGCTCTCTCCCACGATAGAGATGATGACTTCATCAAAAGTGTTTGGCTGGTGTTGAGTTGCCAGCTCCGCTCAATGCAAAGGAGATGCATCAGTCTGTCAAACAACTTGTCTTAAGTCTGAACATATTGAAGAACTCCATTTAAATAATAGAGAGAGGGAGATGGAGAGAGATTCACTTCTCTATGCCAACCAAAGTTTCTTTTTTCTCTTATTCTTCACAAGCTTGAAATGTGAATAGACTTTGAGTATACTTTTATCAACCCATCTCTAGAGCTAGCTCTGTCTGTTTCTGTTTCTGCATGCTCAGAGGAAATCAACTCATGTATCCCAGAGGCCAATGTGGGACAGGAACATAAGGAGGGAGAGTCAAAGAGAGAGAAGAAAAATACTTTCAGATTGGCATGCATGCTGAAAATTGTATGTGGCTGCTATCATCCGCTAGTGTCGAAGGCATTACTCCAATTCCAGGGGGGAACAAAAATAAATATGAAAATAAGCTAGCTCAGCCGGCGGCTCTTGCTTTCTTCAATAGACATCAATACCTGTCATCTCCCTGACACGCAGACACACATTCTTCTGCCCCAGACTCCGGTGAGACTGAGAGGCTGTAGAATAGGCTAATCACAGTTTGACTGTGAAGGTCAACAGTAGACAGAGAGCACCACGTCTGTAGAGCACAGATCTAGGGCTGTTAGCTATAATGGGGTACCTTGTCTCAAAGATAGGTTCTTTGGGACCTTTCTTGTCTTCATAAGTCTGCTCAATGCTTATCACGTGATTGTAACCGAGTCAAATAGAACATAAAATTGTTTCTTAATGATCAAATATCAACTTGGTTTTATGTAAACAACATATTGATTTATTCAGATGATTCATTCAGATCTATCTACTAGCGTGCCACCTCATATCATGCCTCTCACTTTAACGCCACAGTGTAACTCTAACATGTCGTTTTCCTAATGGCTTGGAAGAGAATGTCTCAGTCAGGAAAGTCTCTCTCAGATGTCAGCTGAAGCCAGTGATGACAGGCCTCCACACTTCCTTGACAGCAGGTCACTGACCTTATAGGGGTTGTTTGGGGTGAGTCCATTGTTAAGCACTGAGCAGCAGTCTCTGGAGTGTTTGGCAGCTATATTTCAACTGATAAGCTATGGCGGGGAATAAGACAACCTTGGTCACTGCTGTAGAAGAGGAGGTGCAGGGGAAGCAACATACATTTCAGGGTTATCTAACAGTTCCGACAGCATAGACTAGGAGGTAAGAGGGAGGGGAGAGTCATTCATCATTAGGAGGACTCTACAATGGCACACAGATACAAACACAACTCTTATGCCAGGCAATTTTCCTGCCCTCTCGATCCCTCTAATTCACACATATTACCACATTCCATGTCCTGGAAATATGCTATCATAACATTCCTGCATTGGTAGACCTGTCAAAACGAACAAGAATGGAGAATAAATAATTGCAAAGCTATGTGTTGGGTGTGTACATACAGTAGGCTCTCTCTCTCTCTCTCGCTCTCTCGCTCTCTCTCTCTCTCTCTCTCTCTCTCTCTCTCTCTCTGCTTATTTTTCTTGTCACTTCTGTCAGATCATAGAGAGAGTGACTTTTGTATACTCTGCACCCCCTCTCTCTCTCTCTCTCTCTTCTAACCTACACCTCCTCTGAGAGGCCCTCAGGCTCTGAAGCCAGCAGCAGATTCAGAGTCGTGATACACAGACCATGAAAGGGCCGCTGAAACAGCCTGATGCGCTCAAACGGGCCCCCCTCTCTCTCTACCCTGCAGATCTGGCACACACCAGCCGCCTGGAACATGAGACTGCCTCCTTTATCTCTACCACACTGGAATAGATCAACAACTTTACCACAGCATCAAGCACATACCTCTTATAATAATTGTTTGTTTAAGTGCAACAGGTGGAGTCATGTGTGCTACTGTGTACTACTCAAGGCTAACGTGTCAGTCTTCCTCCACCTCGGGATTGCTAGCATTAGACTGACTGGTCTGGTAAGCAATATGAACTAGGGAGCCATACAAACAGGTTACAAAGCTAGCTGAAGTAATGATCATGAAGATTCACATTATTAGGGATAACTTAGCAGGAAGGTGTGGTTTCTAGAGAAAGTGAGGTGGACTGGGTGAGTAATGGTGCACAGAGACGTGGAGAGGGGGAATAAGTGTCACCTCACCTCCACAATGTGCCAGACCGTAGAGAACATAGCCTTTATGACAGAAGCACTGGAAGCTGCCGGGGGAGTTGACGCAGGAATGGTCACACGTCCGGTCAAAAGAACACTCATCAATGTCTGGGAAGAGGGGGAATATACAGAGAGACAGGTATGAGTTCACATTATTCACTTACACAACTTCTCAAAACTCATTTGAGATTTTATAATATAAACAAATCTATTTATGACAACTTGGATTATAAATAATTTGAAATGGGACCCAAGAAAATAAATAAATAATGTTTTTTAAATTGAATATCATTTTGTTTGGTATGAGACATTGGTTGCTAGTCTGAGCAGTAGCAAGACTGTTTCACCTACTGATAACAGGAGCTTTGGGCCATTTTTCAATTCCCAAATTACCTGTCAATCATTTCACTATACCACTGTTTCGTCCACTAAAAAATAACCATTTAATGAAACTTCTCTCTGTCTCACTATCTCAAATGTCTCATTATTGTGTTCTGTGGAAATCATTTGTCTGAGAAGCAGTCCTGCTTATCTAGGAATATGCTGTAACGTGAGACCAGAAAGGGTCATGAATCTGTCTGTCTAAAGAAGCTCTCCAGCCATCTTCCCTGACCCTGACCCCTGCCTCCCAGCCCCACCACCTTGCACTGGGTGCACAATAATAACTTCCTGTCTATTGTTACCTCCTCTATCCTTATTCCCTGCCTGTCTTTATCAGATAATTGGAACACCACTGGACTCTCATACATGTACCTCTAATATCACTCTCCATGCCTGTGAATACAATGGAACCCTGGCTGAGACCATTAAAATAATACAGGAAGTAATGTGGAGGACATTTGGGTTCGGTAGCCTACTATCCGATGTTTAAATGTCAGCAATTACATATGTCAAGTCCAGACAGCTTCTACAGAGAAGAGAGCTGGGAACTGGAGAGAACGGGGCCTAGTTACATCTTTACTGGACATTTAATTGGCTAAATTGAAAAGGATAGAAAAGGTAGGGAGGTTCCCAGGCATTTCATAGTCTATATTCTCCCCATCCTGAACCTTGTCTTACCTGACATTAAGGCACTGTCAGCCCAACATCAAAAGGATGATAATGGTTTGATAGTATACATTACATGGCAATTATAGGAATACTGCTAAAGCAAAAAAATACTGGGTTACCAAAAACCAGAAGGAATATCTTAACTTTGTCAGCTGCAATATAGGGATTTTTCTTTCTCTTTTTACCTTTTAGCACAGTGGACATCCCCATATGTTCGTATGTGAGGTGTAATCCCTTATACCATTGAACTCTGTCCAGCCTTGAGAGAGAAGCTACTAGTCTAGGGATGCGTCACAAATGGCACACCATTTCCTATTATTGCACTACTTTTGACCAGAGCCCATAGGGTGCCATTATATGGGGAATAGGGTGCCATTTGAGACACAACCAAGGAGTTTTGGCAAGCCTCTTGTGACAACACCTCCAACGAAAGAAGTGGGATTGGGTTGAGATTAAACACCTATCTTCAGTGTTTCAGGAGGAATACAGGGTGATGTCGAACATTTCAAAAAACCCTAAAAGGCAACTTGGCATAAAGAGTAGATATTCATCCAACTAAAGAAGTGGAAGTGATCTCCACTTTATGTTCACTTTGTGAACTCACTTTCACAATAACTTGAATGGAATCTTATAGTGTTACTGTTTAACACTGGGCCACTGAGAAATGAGAGATGATGAGTTTGATGTATTACCACATTGGTTTATTATTTTGGTGCTAAATAAAGCTAACTTTTACTGAGCTCTCAACTCCAGTCAAAAATAGAAATGAACTAGCATCATTTGTTTTGTTTGAAGGCACTCCTCTGGGATATTGGGATGCTAGCCACCATCTCAGGACTGGTGTTGACTGGGACATGCTTTGCTGCTGGGACATAGTCTATTCATCTCTGATCAATAGGATTCAATGGGAAGAAGAAACCTGCAGCGTTGTATTGTACTGCACTGTACAAAGCAAGGGATGGGCTTGGATGTGTCAGGATACCTGGGACTATGGTTGTTGTTTACCAGCAGGTACGGTGAGGTATGCGGGGGTTGGCAGCGCTAGAGGCCCATGTACGTGCAAGGGGCCACGGGACCAGAGATGAGGGACACACTGAAAGAACAGTGGCTGCTGTTTTTAAATAGAATACAGACAGAAACACCCTCGTCTTGCCCTTCAATCTGAACAATCTCACATTTCTGTAAGTGTGTTATTTATGGCAGACATATCGCCCTTACAGTGTAAGATTGAAAGAGAAAGATGAAAATTAAAAAACCTAAGGCCACAGGTTTCTTTCGACAATCCTCCTCCGTAGCAGACTCACAGTGTCCCAGACTGGCCTACGACTCACCCCATCACCTCCTCTTCCCCCCTCAGTTACACAAAATAACAATCCTTCAGAACAAATAAATGTTACAACAATAGAATGGTGAAACAATGCCTGGCCAAGGCTGTTTACACAGAGTAGATAAGGCCTTTATCAGTGATGCTCCTTCTGGGGGAGACCTAGTAGGATCTGATAAGGACACTCCCACCATGCCCTCATTGGGATCAGCAGGGGATGGGGGAGGATAGGGGGGAGGAAGGGGTAAGGAATGCCTCCAGGCCCTGGACCTGGCTGGGACAGACATGTCACGTCTTGATTGATGGGCCACGCGTGGGCCGCTGACAGCTGGGAAATACTGACTGTTCAGTTTATATATCCCAACACTGTACTATGCACTTTGTGTACTGTAGTAGGTCATTTTTTTACAGAATGTTACAGCACAACCACATCTCTGATAAGGCAGGACATATTATGATTGAGTTTATAGCTCTTTTATTCACTCATGGCACTGGCTTTAAGTAGTGTAGATAAAAGTGTTATTTAGCTTTATGCTCACCACATTTCCTTCTTCCTTTTTGCACCCCAAACTTCCCAATAACAATGGCCAGTTGGCCAGATCTCAGCTAGCATGCAACAGTCACCCAGCTGGGCCTGAGAAAGTGCTGACCACACACCACTTACCTAAGAATGAGTAAATTGCTGTTGATCTTAGGACATTGTCCACTCAAAAAAATATCTGCATGAAAAACACAGCTAAGAAAAAATGGCCAAGCAGTATATTCACCCATAAGCCCGTTCTGCTGTGATACTCTGTGGTGCTTGTGGTGGTGTGATGTTTTGTCTGCTGTCTGTCTGCTGCATATAAGAAGTCATTGAGCAAAAGCCAAGTGGCTGGTGCTGGGCTGAAAACACTGAGGTTCCCAGGCAGTTACCTGTCATGGAAATACTGTATGATCATGTGGGACTACCTAAACATGATATCCTGACGGGCAAAACATCTCATTAAATAAAATAAGAGGGGGGAATCAGAAGCACTGTAAAGCCAACAGTCAACTAGAGTCACACTATAGACCTGCTGAAACCTATGGCTCCCTTCCATGGCCCAGTCAGTTAGTGAGTCAGTCAGTCTGCCACCTACATGTAGAAAACACCCAGAATTACCCTACCAGCTGCACCAACCGGAGAGCAATTTAGAGAAATTAAGCTTTTATTGTTGGGCGTGCTCTCTCTACTTCTTTTCAGTTGGCACGGAGCAAGGGATGGTGGGATAGGAGCATGAGGAAGAGTAGACTAGACGGATCAGTGTACAGTGTAGTGTAGTGTGGTGTGTAGTGTGGTGTAGTGTGGTGTGGTGTAGTGTAGTGTAGTGTAGTGTAGTGTGGTGTAGTGTGGTGTGGTGTGTTGTAGTGTGGTGTGTTGTAGTGTAGTGTGGTATAGTATAGTGTGGTGTAGTGTGGTGTGTTGTAGTGTAGTGTAGTGTGGTATAGTATAGTGTGGTGTGGTGTAGTGTGTTGTAGTGTGGTGTAGTGTAGTGTGGTGTGTTGTAGTGTGGTGTGGTGTAGTGTAGTGTGGTGTGTTGTAGTGTGTGTTGTAGTGTGGTGTGTAGTGTGTGTAGTGTAGTGTGGTGTGGTGTAGTGTAGTGTGGTGTGTTGTTGTGCGGTGTAGTGTGGTGTGGTGTAGTGTGGTGTAGTGTGGTGTGGTGTAGTGAGGTGTAGTGTAGCACAGGGGTGCCGCCGAGCATGTTGGCTTGACAACGCCTCACTCAACTGGAGGCCAGTTTTATCAACACCCCTACTCTGCAGACAAAACAAACTGTTCCTAACAATCTCAACACTGTTCCCAAGTAGCCCCACTCACATACAACACAACACCACCCTCCTCCTCTCAGCTTGGAATATTCCCAAGACCATGTGGCTGAATTGGTTTTTGGGAAGTGCTATAGGAACATTAAAGATGTGTTTTCAATTCTCCCTTGGGTCATATTGTTTGTGTTAAATGTGAGAGGCTTTGGCTAAAAGCATGTGCCAAATGACAGCATTATTTAGATAGATTCCAAATGAGGAGAGAAAGAGCTGACCCCCAAATAGTCAGATTGATGTACCTTTACAAGTTCTCAAGTTCAATTACAGAAACAGTTGGTCTCTTTACAGTGAGTTGGACAACATACACTTTAAATGCCCATACTTTGGATAGATGTACATGTTTAGGATGCTGTGTTTCAATGTTGAGCCCAAGGCATGTCGCTGATATGTACCAGCCTTGATACTGATTGACCACATCAATACAGAGAGAGAATAAAAGGCACATCATCTGTTTTTCCACTAATTTCCATAGTTCCATGGTTCCATAGTTCTTGCCTTGGCTTCTCTTCCCAGCAGTGCCAGATGTTTGGGAGGGGGATGGTTTGCCCAAGTCAAGACCCAGAGGTTTTTTAGACTTGGAGCTCTTATTCCACACCTGTAGTAGTAGGCCTGCATGGCAAACTCTTTATTTGCTCTGCGGCTGGCTCCCCCGGCTCCCGCTGAGCTATGGCTACCACCAAATCTTAGAAACAAACAAGCTAGAGAGAGGCCTGGTTTGGCAGTTCCTCTCAGCGAGCTGAAGCCAAAACAATTTGGGAGGAGGAAGACGACTTATTATTATCACGACAATGCTATTACCTTCCCATTCACCTCAGTAACAGGGTGAATAAACCTGCCTAACTCATAACCATCTAAATCTATGTCATTAGGTGAAGGGCACACAGAACAGGCAGTAGCCACTGGGACATTGGATCATGAGCAGTATGATAGAGTATTGTTATGGCTGTTTTCTATGCCTACCTTGGCAAGTCCTCTCATTGGTCAGCAGCTTGTAGCCCTTCTTGCAGCTGCACTCGAAGCTGCCCACTGTGTTCCGACACACGTGGTCACATCCCCCGTTGTTCAGGCGGCACTCGTCAATGTCTGAGGACAGAAAACACATACAGTAGAAAACTCACTTCAACGCACAGACAGGAAGAGAGAGAAAGAACAAGAGAAAGTGCAAGAGAGAGAGAGAGAGAGAGAGAGAGAGAGAGAGAGAGAGAGAGAGAGAGAGAGAGAGAGAGAGAGCTTAGTGAACGTGGAGCGAGAGTGAGCGGAGGCTTTAGAGATATCTTGTCCTGCTGTGTACGTTTGCTGGTGTACGTTTGAGGGCTGAAATATGTATGTGTGATGGATGACTCTGGGGCCTAGCAGTCGAGAGCAGTCAGGGTGTTAAGTAGAGGATGATGATCCACACGGCTGACTGGAGATCCATCCCAGAGAGAGAAGAGAGAGATGCACAGGGAAAGTGCACTAAGGATTTCTCCTTAGATCTGGGATGGGTATGATCTGGGTCTGTATGTGGTTAGAATAGATCACAGCCCTTACAGAGACAGCCAGGGGAGAACTATGTCTCAGCACAGACCGACCACAGCTCGACCATTCTTTTCATCGTCAATAACAAATCAATACATCATATGGCTCACCCGGGCTTTGATCGGGACTTGGCCAAGCAGCTTCGATCAGATTTACTCTGAATCATCATTGTAAATGAGGCATCCGTCTCTTGAGGGAGAGTTCAGTACATCATCTGGTTAAAATAAATGCATCAGAAATTGAATAAAATAATAATACTCTCCTGTCTCTCTCTTTGTCTCTCCCCCCTGAGAGGTCCCTTGCCCGCAGCGGGCCTCTGTTTTCTCTTGCCAGTGCTGTCTGAGGTTGTTTTCCTTTTCTTTCCTCTCAAACCAAACTAATAAACCCAATGTACTTTTATCAGAGTTGTTAGCGTAAAGTTATGAGCACTGAAGGGGAAGCAGACTCCTATTCTAGGCTTTTTGGCAGCATCAACAGTCTTGAGTTTCTCCACCGAGCTCTTCTCTCTCTCTCTCTCTCTCTCTCTCTCTCTCTCTCTCTCTCTCTCTCTCTCTCGCTCTCTCGCTCTCTCTCTCTCTCGCTCTGTCTCTTTGCTATTATCTCCCTGAAATGTACTCCTAATCTAAACCGTTCTTACTCCCATGCTCTTGTTTGTATAAATTAAGAACAGCTTTTGATAAATTGTGAGGATATCAAGCTATTTGTGTTTGACAGCAGCAACAGCATATGGGTACCTTGACAAACGGATTTGCTGCCAAAGCAGTACCCAGAACAGCAGGGTCATTCGACTATATACAGTGTTGAAGTGTTGGCATCATTAGACCTCAACTCTCCACTCCATCCCAATGTGAGAGTTGTGACAGAGGCAGAGGCAGCCGATGAGACAGAGGGGATGAGGCAGAGCAGGGTGGCAAGGCGAGGTCAGTCGCCACTGGGGAACCAGACAGCAGCAGTCCTACACGCCTCAACGAGCCCACAATGCATCTCTGATTAGAGTGTCAGGTCCCTGCTCTCCATGGCCACCGTGTGTGTGTGTGTGGGTGGACACAATGTGTATGGAGGGCTGTGGGGGCTGGAGGGAGGCCAGTAAAAGCTTAGGAACCAGCAAGATAGATCAAAGGGAAAATATAGAAAGAATCAGTGGATAGTTTAGGAAGGAAAATAATGATTGACAGGTTTAACTGGTACTGTAACATTGTGGAGCTTGGGTGACTGACAGAATAATACGGTTTAGAACATGAAGGACAAAGTGTGGGTTAAGTCTAGTGAGTAGTGATAACACATTGTATGTGACTGACAGTGTGAGAAGTTGGGAGACTGTATGATTGACAATGTGAAAGGGGTGGAGATCATGTAATTGACAGGTGGATAGTTGCTGTTTGAGAGGATGAGAGGTGAGGGAGGGAGACTGGCTGTGTGTGTTAGGTTACCTTTGCAGGTCTTGCGGTCTGGCTGGAGAGTGAAGCCTACAGGACAGCTGCAGCGGACTCCTGTCACCGCGTCATGACACGTGCTGTCACAGCCACCGTTGTTCACTGCACACGTCTCTGCAGAGAGAAACACACATGCAGTACATCACAGTTAGACACACACACTGGGATCTATAGGTGGTGGAACTGGTCCCAAAATCGGTTGCTTTTCCATTATCATTTAAAAAAGATGTCTATTATACAGTGCAGTTCCAAAGAGGATAAGAAAAAGACAGAGAAGAGACAGGAAAGTGCTTCAGTAGTTTGCTCCTGTGTGGAACAATGGAAGTGAACAAGAGAGCACAGTTAGGTAATTCAACACCTGATACTATGGATGATAGAGGATCAGAGTACTAAGAGCATAGTGCCATGACATAAATGAATGAGTGTGTGCACACGTGGATGTTTGGCTGCTCTTCGGACAAGGTGAGTTAAAACACCCCCACCCCCATTACTCCCCCAACATCCTCATAGGACATCAACCAACTCCTATCATGAGGACAGCAGCTCTTCCTCCAGACAGCTGCGGTCAAAATCATTTTCTTTACCCTGGCTTTGACAAGAGCTTCCAGGCATTTTGGGGATAAAAAAGCAATTTCACCAGGCCAGTCAGCATGATTGATTTGAAGAATGGAGGTTATTTAGTCAGGGAAGGGAGGGCACCCGGCTGCCTGGCAGTGCCTCATCTCTAGACACATTAGAGATTAGGCACTGCCACACATTTCACAGAGAAGACTGACTTTTAACAAAAGGCAGAAGAGAAGAAATGTGTTCCCACTTTAAAGAGCTTGGTGTCCGTCTGTGGCCTGTAGCATCGCCAATAGCTTCAAACACTCTGGAAAAATAACACCATTAAAAAACAAAACCTGATCTACTCTGGGAAATCACGATACCTTGCTACAAGGGCATCTGGTCACTCTCAGAGAAGCACATAGCATCACTTTTCCTCTAATAAGCTGAGGGATACCAGTCGGCAGTTATTTCACAAACTAGGTCTATTAAATACCCAAGAGCCTATCTCATAAAGTGCACCAGAACAGCTGGCCTGGCTGTGGGCTTCACCACAGACTGCTGAGAGGGTTGAGACTGGTATGGAGAGGGCTTCTCACACGTGGCACCACAGAGGAAGCACAGCTGCCCCAGTCTCCACAGAGAATAACTGGATCTCTGTGAGGAATACCTAAGCTAACATGAAACTGCCATGATGGGGCAGGCCAAACCCTCTTGATACACATCAACTCTACTGCAAGTCATAGATCATGGAATGCTATTTAGGTGGGAGAAAGTGTTTAAGCGTTTATTGCTTGTTTCACATCTGGTGACAGTGGCATCATGGCGACACTGTGACAGAGACCCCAGGCAGTTTGGTGCTGATATGGGCATGGGGCTGGCTCTGGCTGTAACTTAAAGGCCATGACTCAGCCATCCTGTGGAAGTCCATGGGCGCTGTGCTGGGGTAGAGAGAGAGAGCATTCCTAGTGAACCACGGTGGTGCTGTGCGGGGGAGAGTGGCACAGCCAGTGTGTTTGTCCAAATTGCACACTGACTGAGAGTTGGCAGACAGGGTGATGCAGCACTGTCACGACATGCCTCCAAAACGCTTAGAGAGGCAGTATCACACCAAACAGTAATGATCATAAGGGTAGAGAAATATTTATGAAGAGGGAGACACACTCTGGTATGTGTGTGGGTTGTGTTTTCTGGATGCAGGATGCAGACCAGCCACGTCCACAGTCAGTGTATTGGGTTATATGGACAGACTTTTGTAAGTATTCACAATATGAAGGCTCTGATATGTACAGTGTTTATTTTTATCAGTTCCATATGTTGATGTAATGTACAGTGCACCTCTCTCCCTGAAGCAATAACAACGTTTTGTCATTCGACTGCTATATTACACCTACGTGGTGAAAAGCTTTGGTTGCTTTCCAAGGGGCGACATACCTCTTGCTGGCTGACAATAACATACATTTGAGTTTGGGATGACATAGGCAACAAGTCCAAAGTGGCTGTTACCACCAATTGGATAGTTGAACCAAAGATTTTATAGAAATCATCATTGAGTTATATATGGTTTATTTGAACAACGACAAAGAAACACAGACACACACACACATACTCCTCAAAATCCAAGCCTCTGAGTTCACCTAGCAGCAGACATGCAGTTAGAATTGGGTTATTCAGAAAATAGTACACAAAAAGGTTATTTCAGACAGAAGAAAAATTATGTAGTGAATGCTTTTTCAATAAACATAAAATAAAAGAAATAGGATAATAACAACCCCTGAAAATGGTCTGCAAATTTCCTTTACCGCTGTAGCTTTGAAAGCAACCCCAAGAGCGAGCTTTTGTCAGGCTTGGCTGTATGGATTTCTGGGCTCATTAAGCAATGCTCTTTGAGCTCAGTTTGAGCTGACTGAAACCTCAGCAGAAAGCATGAGCCACCATGGTAACAACTCACTCACAATTATCTATTTTCCCTCTCTCTCTCTCTCTCTCTCTCTCTCTCTCTCTCTCTCTCTCTCTCTCTCTCTCTCTCTCTCTCTCTCTCTCTCTCTCTCTCTCGCGCTCTCTCTCTCTCTCTCTCTCTCTCTCTCTCTCTCTCTCTCTCTCGCTCTCTCTCTCTCTCTCTCGCTCTCTCTCTCTCTCTCATAATTTATACAGCAACACATAATATTGAGCTCGATAGAGAGAGTGACTTTTGTATACTCTGCACCTCCTCTTAAATGTTAAGAGTAATCTTGAGAAACATCAAACCCGTACTGTACATTTCTCCAAGTGGAAGTATACATTCCACTCTACGTGAAACTTTAGAACAGAGAGGTATTCTATGTTCAGTCTATTGTGTGGCTGAGTGTCAAGTCATGGACGTGGCTCTGGCCCCCTTCCAAGCACTAATACTCTGTGATAGCGTTCCAAAACCGGCCACGGATAGGTGCTCGGCACAGCACAGGGCTTAATTCTCTTCATAGCAGCTGTATCAAAACACAAATAAACCTCAGGGCCCTTGGCTTGGCCTGTTTCTAAAGAGCCATCACAGTAATTGGAAGAGAGAGGTTGAGGACTTTGAGTCAGGCCATTCACTTAGCCTAGCTTTCACCAGTACATCTACATACAGCTATCAAAGGAGGCATAGAACGTTTATGTGTCAGACAGAACAGATTGGCCAGGGATTAACTCTAGGTAGGGAAGGAAGTCTGTTCTAAAGCCCCAATATTGTAGCATTCAGTACATGCCATATATCTCTTATCTGTCTTTAATTTTTATCATATTGTTTTGTGCTTGTAAGTTGAAGGCTTCTTTTCCTAACAGCAGCTGTGTTTTGAAAAGGCGAGGTTTGACATGGGCAGCAACCATTGTTATTGAAAGGGCATTCACAGAAGGAAGAGGAAGGTGGAGAGGTGTCAAAGGTCAGGGGTCAGAGAGGGATGATGCCCCTTTGGGAGGGGTGCAATGTGTGTTAGGTTAGTTAGTTTCCCCCGGGTCCTTTCGGCCTACACCCCACACCCACATGGAAGGACAGAGGGGCGCAGTCAGGAGGAGTCAGGGGGTCAGTGGAGCCCCCCAGAGAGGAGCCAGAGGAACAGAGATATTTACCATTGGGGAACAGCTGTGGGGCTGCCTGGTTCTGGACACTCCTCTCCCCTGCACACACATACACATACATTGCAAAAATACTGCTTTAGTGCTTCATTTAGAAACATGGGCCGAACATCTGTGATGTCATCATGAGAATAATCCTGTATGTATATAATACTGTACATTAGTGGTGTACTGTTCAATGCAATTGCCCCCATTTCTGGGCTGGTTCACTAAGCATATTCATGAAACACATAAGTCATCCATCTCTACTAGATGTAACACTCAAAATCAATGCCCAGAGGAGTTGCAGAAAACCATTGATTTGTCACAAGGGCAAAACTATTGATAATAATTGTACTATTGATAATGAATGGACGGCTGGCCAGACAATGTTGTGTACATTCTAAATCTAAACAGAAAATGGCTATGATAGATAACTCGCTAGAACAAGAGGGTCACCTCTAATGACAAAGGCAAACAAAGGCAGAAACCCACACCATGCAATCATGCACATACAAGAGCCACACGTTCAAGAGGAGGCAGACTTGAGGTAAAGCCAAGTTAGTGCAAACTCTGCAAGCCATTATAGCAAGAGTCAGATAGTTAGTGGTTTGTAAGAGAAGACAGGTCAGAGACAAACAGATTCACCCTCATGCTTTGCTGCCAGGCATTCAGGGTTAAAAATAAGAAGTTGTGACGTCTCACAGCATGGTGCTACTGTTGTGTAATGTTGTGTGACACTCTACTCTCCTCAACATGCTTAGAACATGTATTCCTCTGATGTCATTCAGGTGAATGAGGGATTATACATTTCCATGTCACTCTCTGTTTTCATAGAAACGCATGAGAACCATTGAGGATTTTATACCTCAGCGAGGAGACCGCACACACAGCATGCACTGTTTACATCCACTGTTGCCATAGATATACCAACATGACTGGGTGATTCCATGCCAGCATAGCCCGAAAATATTTTGGGTATCTCAGATTGTTCTGGCAATTCTCACATATAAACTTAATTGGGAGGAAGGATGTTTGACATGCTTTTTACATTTGAATCATTTGTAATCATTGTATCTCAATGAAGTTACTATGTGAGAATTGCCAGAACAATCTGAGATACCAAAAATATTTTCGGCATACGCTGGCGTAGAATCGTCCAACTCCATCCTAACATGCCCCATCCAACAACCATGCTTCTAGGCAGAAAGACAGAGCGATGTCAAAAGTATTCCAACACACTACCATAAGAACTACCATAAGAATGAATATACAGTATGGACCACCCGTTAGCATATACACTACCAGTCAAAAGTTTTAGAACACCTACTCATTCAAGGGTTTTTCTTTAATTTTACTATTTTCTACATTGTAGAATAATAGTGAATACATCAAAACTATGAAATAACACATATGGAATCATGTAGTAACCAAAAAAGTGTTAAACAAATGAAAATATATTTTATATTTGAGATTCTTCAAATAGCCACCCTTTGCCTTGATGACAGCTTTGCACACTCTTGGCATTCTCTCAACCTGCTTCACCTGGAATGCTTTTCCAACAGTCTTGAAAGAGTTCCCACATATGCTGAGCACTTGTTGGCTGCTTTTTCTTCACTCTGCGGTCCGACTCATCCCAAACCATCTCACGGGGGGCCAGTATGAAAAAAAAAATGTATGCACTCACTAACTGTAAGTCGCTCTGGATAAGAGTGTCAGCTAAATGACTAAAATGTAAATGTCAATGTAAATTTGGTTGAGGTCGGGGGATTGTGGAGGCCAAGTAATCTGATGCAGCACTCCATCACTCTCCTTCTTGGTAAAATAGCCCTTACACAGCCTGGAAGTGTGTTGGGTCATTGTCCTGTTGAAAAACAAATGATAGTCCCACTAAGCCCAAACCAGATGGGATGGCGTATCGCTGCAGAATGCTGTGGTAGCCATGCTGGTTAAGTGTGCCTTGAATTCTAAATAAATCACAGACAGTGTCACCAGCAAAGCACCCCCACACCATAACACCTCCTCCTCCATGCTTTACGGTGGGAAATACACATGCGGAGATCATCGGTTGGAACAAAAAATCTCAAATTTGGACTCCAGACCAGAGGACTAATTTCCACCGGTCTAATGTCCATTGCTCGTGTTTCTTGGCCCAAGCAAGTCTCTTCTTCTTATTGGTGTCCTTTAGTAGTGGTTTCTTTGCAGCAATTCGACCATGAAAGCCTGATTCACATAGTTTCCTCTGAACAGTTGATGTTGAGATGTGCCTGTTACTTGAACACTGTGAAGCATTTATTTGGGCTGCAATTTCTGAGGCTGGTAACTCTAATGAACTTATCCTCTGCAGCAGAGGTAACTCTGGGTCTTCCATTCTTGTGGCGGTCCTCATGAGAGCCAGTTTGATCATAGCGCTTGATGGTTTTTGCGACTGCACTTGAAGAAACTTTCAAAGTTCTTGAAATTTTCCGGATTGACTAACCTTCATGTCTTAAAGTAATGATGGACTGTCGTTTCTCTTTGCTTATTTGAGCTGTTCTTGTCATAATATGGACTTAGTCTTTTACCAAATAGGGCTATCTTCTGTATACGCCCCCTACCTTGTCACAACACAACTGATTGGCTCAAACGCATTAAGAAGGAAAGAAATTACACAAATGTACTTTTAAGAAGGCACACCTGTTAATTGAAATGCATTCCAGGTGACTACCTCATGAAGCTGGTTGAGATAATGCCAAGAGTGTGCAAAGCTGTCATCAAGGCAAAGGGTGGCTATTTGAAGAATCTCAAATATAAAATATATTTAGATTTGTTTAACACTTTTTTTGGTTACTACATGATTCCATATGTGTTATTTCATAGTTTTGATGTCTTCACTATTATTCTACAATGTAGAAAACAGTCAAAATAAAGAAAAACCCTTGAATGAGTAGGTGTTCTAAAACCTTTGACCGGTAGTGTATGTGTGTGCGCTTTTGTGCATGCATGCGATCGTGAATGTATGTCCATATACGTGTGTGTGCATGTGTGTATGTGTTTCTGTGTGTGTATGCAGAGGTGTAAAGTAATTAAGTAAAAATACTTTAAAGTACTACTTAAGTAGTTTTTGGGGGTATCTGTACTTTACTATTTATATTTTTTACAACTTTTACTTTTACTCCGCTACATTCCTAAAGAAAATAATGTACTTTTTACTCCATACATTTTCCCTGACACCCAGAAGTACTCATTACATTTTGAATTCTTAGCAGGACAGGAAAATGGTCCAATTCACACACATATCAAGAGAACCTCCCTGGTCATCCCTACTGCCTCTGATCTGGCGGACTCACTAAACACAAATACTTTGTTTGTAAATTATGTGTTGGAGTGTGCCCCTGGCTATCAGTAAATAAAGAAAACAAGAAAATTGTGCCGTCTGGTTTGCTTAATATAAGGAATTTGAAAGGATTTATACTTTTACTTTTGATACTTAAGTATATTTTAGCAATTACATTTACTTTTGATACATAAGTATATTTAAAACCAAATACTTTTAAACTTTTACTCAAATAGTATTTTACTGGGTGACTTTCACTTTTACTTGAGTCATTTTCTATTAAGGTATCTTTACTTTTACTCAAGTATTGTAATTGGGTACTTTTTCCACCACTGTGTGTATATGTGTGTGTGTGTGTGTGTGTGTGTGTGTGTGTGTGTGTATGGACGGCATAGTGTGACTAGTTCCTGAGCATGTCTGCATCTGCCTGCTATTTGGAGATGTTTATGATTTGCTGTACTAACAGCTTGAATACTTCCACATGATGGCTGCTCCTTTCTGTTTTGTTAAGTTCTTGCTTTACAGAAACGTACTGTATGTGCAAACACACTGGAGACCAGTCCAAGAGGGAAGTTTACAGTGTGTTAATTCAACTTTAATGGAAGATTTGGTAAACTGATGAGTTTCCCTTATAGTAAATCAGATCATACATCACTTACTGAGTGTGTGTGTGTGTGCTTATTTGCGTGTCTGTGACGGGAATAAGTAAGCCATATGTTTAGATATATTGCACCATGCTAATTTGATATGTCTGTTTTTCCCCATATAGGGGAGCTCTCCTGATACATACACTACCGTTCAAAAGTTTGGGGCCACTTAGAAATGTCCTTGTTTTCCATGAAAACATACATTAAATGAATTTGAACAGGAAATATAGAAAAATGCATAGGAAATGTAGTCATTGACAAGGTTAGAAATAATGATTTTTTAATTGAAATAATAATTGTGTCCTTCAAACTTTGCTTTCGTCAAAGAATCCTCAATTTGTAGCAATTACAGCCTTGCAGACCTTTGGCATTCTAGCTGTCAATTTGTTGAGGTAATCTGAAGAGATTTCACCCCATGCTTCCTGAAGCACCTCCCACAAGTTGGATTGGCTTGATGGGCACTTCTTTCGTACCATATAGTCAAGCGTGGTCCTCTGTAGCTCAATTGGTAGAGCATGGCGCTGGTAATGCCAGGGTAGTGGGTTCGATCCCCGGGACCACCCATACGTAAAAATGTATGCACACATGACTTTAAGTCGCTTTGGATAAAAGTGTCTGCTAAATGGCATATTATTATTATTATTATAAGCTGCCCCCACAACAGCTCAATAGGGTTGAGATGACTGTGCTGGGCACTCCATTATAGACAGAATACCAGCTGACTGCTTCTTCCCTAAATAGTTATTGCATAGTTTGGAGCTGTGCTTTGGGTCATTGTCCTGTTGTAGGAGGAAATTGGCTCCAATCAAGCGCCGTCCACAGGGTATGGCATGGCGTTGCAAAATGGAGTGATAGCCTTCCTTCTTCAAGATCCCTTTTACCCTGTACAAATCTCCCACTTTACCATCACCAAAGCACCCCCAGACCATCACATTGCCTCCACCATGCTTGACAGATGGCATCAAGCACTCCTCCAGCATCTTTTCATTTGGTCTGCGTCTCACAAATGTTCTTCTTTGTGATTTGAACACCTCAAACTTCGATTCGTCTGTCCATAACACTTTTTTCCAATCTTCCTCTGTCCAATGTCTGTGTTCTTTTGCCCATCTTAATCTTTTATTTTTATTGGCCAGTCTGAGATATGGCTTTTTCTTTGCAACTCTGCCTAGAAGGTCAGCATCCCGGAGTCGCCTCTTCACTGTTGACGTTGAGGCTGGTGTTTTGCAGGTACTATTTAATGAAGCTGCCAGTTGAGGACCTGTGAGGCATCTGTTTCTCAAACTAGACACTCTAATGTATTTGTCCTCTTGCTCAGTTGTGCACCGGGGCCTCCCACTCCTCTTTCTATTCTGGTTAGAGACAGTTTGCGCTGTTCTGTGAAGGGAGTAATACACAGCGTTGTACGAGATCTTCAGTTTCTTGGCAATTTCTCGCATGGAATAGCCTTCATTTCTCAGAACAAGAATAGACTGACGAGTTTCAGAAGAAAGTTATTTGTTTCTGGCCATTTTGATCCTGTAATTGAACCCACAATTGCTGATGCTCCAGATACTCAACTAGTCTCAAGAAGGCCAGTTTTATTGCTTCTTTAATCAGCACAACAGTTTTCAGCTGTGCTAACATAATTGCAAAATGGTTTTCTAATGATCAATTAGCCTTTTAAAATAATAAACTTGGATTAGCAAACACAACGTGCCATTGGAACACAGGACTGATGGTTGCTGATAATGGGCCTCTGTACACCTATGTAGATATTCCATAAAAAATCAGCCGTTTCCAGCTACAATAGCCATTTACAACATTAACAATGTCTACACTGTATTTCTGATCAATTTGATGTTATTTTAATGGACAAAGAAATTGCTTATTTCTTTCGAAAACAAGGACATTTCTAAGTGACCCCAACTTTTGAGCGGTAGTGTACATTTACAGCATGTAGAAGTAAATGTGTTGAGACTTGCACCATAAACTCTAAACCCCAAACAAAAGTGACTGATAGGAAAGATGAAAGGCAAACTGTTTCAAATAAAAGAAGGCTATGCATTGCCCATTGAATATTGACTGAGTTTGGGTGGAGAGACTTGAGACAACAGAATGAATGAAGACGTGGCACGATGAGCAAAAAAAACCTAAAAAACAACTACGAAATCAATAGCCCACTAAAGAAATACACACCGTAGGACTACTATGGTCAACAATGGTTTAGTTGGTCCTGTTCCAGTGTCATTCATGGGACTGAGAGCATTGAAGTGGTAGTCCCGGTTCAATTAAACTACTGTAGTTTAGTATATTGGGGCTATATGAACAGAATACTCTAGCTTACATAAAGGTTGCTTTGGTTGTTTTTCAGCTTTGAATCATCCTACATTACTGCTATAAAAAAAAGTCTCTCCCATCCTTATTTGGTCACATTTTCACTGAGGAAATTCATTTTCACTGGGAGTCTCCATCTCCCAATCTGTCCTGTCTGGCTGTCTTTAGTAATGTTAGTGCCTGGCTGAAGCAGTCCCAATCATCCTGTCAGTCAGCCCGTTGTCAGGGGCTCGTTTGGTGGTTTGTTTATTTTATTGTGGTTTTATTAACTAATAGCGCCTCTCGGAGAGATGGAGCGCACCAGCACCAAACCGCAGAGTGGGCTGCTACCACAACTCCCCGTCCCCCTTGTCTCCCCCCACTGCAATCCACCGTACCCCCAGAGCCTGTGGAGGGAAACCCAAGACTCTAACTGCCTGAGCGCTCCCTAATCTGTCACGTCAGGCGCAGTTCTCTTCGTCTTGGTAATGGTGGCTCAGACATTGAATTTGGCCACAGCAGACTTTGTGGCGTCCTGGCAGCCTCGCTAGAGTACGGTGGTAATGATAGGGTGGTTGACCAGGCCTTGACATGGGCCTGGATCTCATCAGCACCATGGTGGAGAGGGGGGGACTAGACACACTGAGCCAACCAGACAACCAGCCACTGAAACCAGCCAACCAGTCAACCAAAACAGCTGACCAGCCACCGACACCAGCCAACCAGCCGCCCAAACCAGTCAACCAGCCACCGAAACCAGCCAACCAGCCTACACACAGCCTCAATTCACTTACAAAACGCCAAGAGGTGAACTACAAATATACTATATATCCACCTGACAGAAAACACCAGTCAGTCTGGTTCAACGTGTCTCTTTCCATGGGTCATTCTACACAGCCTCTATTTAATTACTTAATGTCAACCGAAGCAAACAACATTTACAAATGTCAATGAAGGTTTAGATTGGGTTTGATTAGGTATACTTTTAGTGTAACATAATTGAGGAGTTGACCAAAGGCCTAAGAGAGTAGAGGAGCTGCATCTGGCTACATGGGGTGGTGAAGCAGAAGCAGAGGAAGCACAGTGTCCAGCAAAGCAGGGAGAGAGGAAAGACCAAAGCAAATGTAGAGAGAGAGAGAGAGAGAGAGAGAGAGAGAGAGAGAGAGAGGAGAGAGAGAGAGAGAGAGAGAGAGAGAGAGAGAGAAGAGAGAGAGAGAGAGAGAGAGAGAGAGAGAGAGAGAAGAGAGAGAGAGAGAGAGAGAGAGAGGAGAGAGAGAGAGAGAGAGAGAGAGAGAGAAGAGCTCGGTGGAGAAACTCAAGACTGTTGATGCTGCCAAAAAGCCTAGAATAAGGTCACAGCTGTAGACTGCAGCAGTAGCAGCAGAGAGAGGCACAGCTTTTGTCTTTGTGTGTAATAGCTGAAGCAGCAGAAGGCGACTTGGAGATGCAGATGCCTCTGGAACTACCTGGTAATATGTGAGTAAGGTTGTGGATATGATTGATACAGTACATGTAATATTCTATCTCAGAGCACATCCTTCATTTAGTTATCCCCCACAACCCGTCAAATGTGTGCTGACTCACCTACACATGTCTTTCCATCAGTGTGCAGGGCAAACTTCATGTGACACGCACATCTGGGGCCGTGGTCCGTCTCCTCACAGATGTGCTGGCAACCCCCGTTGCCGTAGTTACAGGTCACTGCCAAGGAGCACACAGTTAGAGCAGTAGGAACATGCTGCACAGTCGTCCGTGTGCTGTGACACCATCACCCTCTCAACCTCAGTATGATGGAGACGTTTAGGCAGTCCTCCCATTTACACCTTGGTGTGAAGGATCTCACACCCCTAAACCATCACCTACTTAGTGGAATGGAGCAGAACTGCCGAGTTCAGGGTTTTATTCTCACTTGAAAACACTACTGTAGTTCCACATTGGAATGAGAGTACCGCTTCTTTAGTGTGTGTGTTTGTGTGTTTATGTGTGTGTGTGTGCACATGCGTGAGTCTGTTTGTGGTGTGTTGATTGTGTCGACATTAGCATTCTAAATACACCTGCGATGTCAGACTGCCAAAGGGTGAGAGCCAAGGCTTCATCCTCCATCCTGATGTCTGCATTCCACTACCCCCGCACCTTTTGCCCTTTTCCTGGGCTGTCACATTTTTTTTTTTATAACACTTCTCCAATCCTTATCCAAACACAGGCAAATCCCCCATCAGCCCCGGCCCCAGCCCTGACAGGATGAGCCCTGTTGGAAGGCAACAGGAAGCATGTGCTGTCCATCACAATGGCTCTGTCTCACAGAAACCTGCTGACCGCTCCCTTAGTTACTCTATTTGTGTCGATTATCAGACGCTATAAATCATTTGGTGTGATAAACTGGCAGTTTCATTTGGAAATAACTGATGTAAAATGTTTGTTTCTGGCACTGTTTTAAAAATCTGTTGGATGCATCTATTGGAAGGTATTTGTAGAATGAGCTGAATGATCTGCTCCACCTTCCATGATAATAAGTGGTTTATATGGAGCAATACTATAATGACTCTACATCATGTGTAGAGAGGAGCAGGGGGCCCACTTACATTTGCAGTCCCTCATGTTCCTGGTGAGCTGGAAGCCAGGTCTGCACTCGCAGGCAATGCCTCCCTTTGGTGTCTCCCGGCAGATGTGAGCACAGCCATGGTTCTTATCCATGCAGGTGGGGCCCTCTTTGGTGCCCTCTGATCGCACTGCAGAGAGAAAACAGAGAGGGAGAAGTGAGTTAGAGGTGACCTGATAGATTTACACTATGTGCTACTAACTACTCCTTGTCCAGATCCCACGCCTCCATCAGAGGAGGCTGGTGGGAGGAGCTATAGGAGGACCGGCTCATTGTAATAGTTGGAATGGAAGAAATGGAACGGAATCAAACATGTGGTTTCCATATGTTTGATGTGTTCGATACCGTTCCATTGATTCCATTCCAGTCATTACAATGAGCCCATCCTCCTATAGCTCCTCCCACCAGCCTCCTCCTGCACACGCATACACACACACACAGACTCCCTAACCCTGTCTACTCCTGGTGACTGACATCCACAATTGCCCCTGTTCCAAATTTCCAGTGTTGATGATAGCCTGTTAGAACACACTGCATTGTGCCAGGCTATAAAAACTAGCCCGCCTAGAGAAAGGATGTAACTCCCACCAGGAGTTGATCCTGCAGTCCTGTAAGCTTAATTGAGGTAATCCCTAACTGAAAAGAGGACACAAAGGAGACATTTCAACTTTCAGCCAAATTCTTCAAACTCCGAGGCGTGAGGGGAGAGGCCTAAAAACACAGCCTATTTCCAGAGGTTTACTACACTCTAACCTCAATGCTTTGGTTCAGTTCAAATGGGTCCGTTTACTGTGGATGCATGGATCCATTGTTTCTCCAAACACAACAAAGGGATGCTTTTGTTGGACTCCATTATATACAGCCATCTTACAATAGCTGAGTGTTTTAGCCATTCAAAGCTAAACTCAAAGTGCCATGCAGATACAGCATTTTGATCTCATGTATGTATGAAGGTCACTTGTACAACACCGTCCATGACTCAAGAGGGTTCCATCCCAGATCTCACTTGTGTTATAAATTATAACAGGAGTCAGTGGCACATCTGTTATGCTACTATGTATTATGGATGACACCTTTAGAGATCACAGGCAGAGATTTGACTCCATGCAATGTGAGACAGTGTCACTATTACAGCTGTAGTGACAAGCCCCAAACCCACTGTCTCATTAAAAACCAAACACATCTCTAATCCCCCACCCCTGTCCCTCCCTATTCCATATTTAGTGCACTACTTTTGACAAGGGCCCATTTGGGACAAAACCCAGGTCTCATTGGACCTGCTGACACTCAGAAGGATGTTTGGGTCTACACTTCAGCGCTGTATACTGTTCCAGTCACACACATTCATATTGTAAATCACCTTTTTTTGTCAGTGCATGCGCACATGACTGTAAGTACATCTCAGAATGCCCAAGGGCCAAAAGTCTTACAGGCCACCCATACAAAAATGTATGCACGCACTACTGTAAGTTGCTTTGGATAAAGATGTCTGCTAATTTGTATATGTTATTATTATATATTACATTCCATATGTACTGCAATGTACTGTACATGGACAATCATTCTACAGTTTTCATGTGCGTGCCCTGTGGACATACTGTATGATGTGATGATGAGAACATTCTATCATTGTAAATGTGCTGACGAACCATGGCAAAGAGACAAGAGCTGAGCCTAGTTTTATCCTTAATGCCTTATTTATATACTTTAACGCCTGCCTTCATAGCCTTCCATAATTACACCCTCTTGTTTTCCATGTGTTGTGCCAACAAACTGAACTGGCCCTTTTATTTAGTTTCACTTAGTTAGGCTGATGTCAGAGAGACAGTCCCTCTCTACTTTTTGTCTAGCTGATGTTGATGTGTTGCATTAGTGTTGTCCATCACCTAAAGTCTGTTAAGAGGTGTTACGATGTCAGGCTTCAGCCTTTCTGTCAGGCTTCCCAGCTTTTGCTTTCCTGATCCGTAAAAAGGGGTGATGGCCCAGTCAGAAAGATGGTAGAGGCTGAGCAATCAGACACTGACTGCAAAAACAGACCGAGGACAGAGGGTCAACTCGGAACAAAAAACCCATTCCACCACCACAGCCGTTGAGACACATTAAGTACAGGGACGATGACTGGAGTCCACTGACCATATAACAACACACCCTCTTTAAGGTGCAGCAAACCTCAGGAGGTCAGGGCGGTGGGAAACTCAAGCAGAAGTTGGAATTCATTGCCAAACCCAACACACAGACAGACGGGAGGTGAACCCAACACACAGACAGACAGTGAACCCAACACACAGACAGACAGTGAACCCAACACACAGACAGACAGTGAACCCAACACACAGAAGAGAGGTGAACCCAACACACAGACAGAAGGGAGGTGAACCCAACACACAGACAGAAGGGAGGTGAACCCAACACACAGACAGAGAGGTCTGTGAAGACGGAGAGGGGTAGAGTTTCCCACTTGGCAGCCCCTAAGAGACTCAAGATCACTTACCAGGGTCACAACATGCATCCCCAAAGTCCCCCCACTCTCTCCCCACCTATATGAGACCTATATGACACCCCTCTCCCCTAATACCACAGACCAATCCATCAATAGCGGACCGGGCCAGAGCCAGAACCTGGGCCCTGTTCTCTCTGAGGACCTATAAAAGCCAAAGTGCTGACACAATGGTCCTTTTCTCCCTGGCCAAGCTATGGAACCACCCTCTGCAGTTCCCTTCAACTGGCTGCCAAATACCTACAGTTTTTATCATTACTACTACAGCTATTATAATTTATGCAGGGTCTCTTGTCGAGAAATGAAATATAAATAAATAATAGGGATGCAGAAAGAAAAATGGCCCATCGCAAAGTAGCTGGGAGAAGTGATGGAGGAAAATAAGGAACACCGCCGGTCCACTGAAACAAGACCCATAAAACATAACTCTATATGTAGAAACCAATACAAATATCACAGGGCACTTTATAGACAGACCGCTGGATAAGCAATATGGGTTAAAGTCATGGAGCCAGAGGGGAACCTTCCAAATGGTTACCAGGGGTCAGACTAGACATTGGTTCTCACACTATTGAACACGGAGAACGATCATCGAAAACCACTGACTGCAGTGGTAGAAAAAAGAACACCCGGCAATTAGCGCAAAGAACAGCAAGAGAAGGAGAGAGCTTTTCCCCAGAAGCGACGTAGCCACAGCAGCAGTATCCACCCAACCAGGTCGTGACCTGCACACCAGACACTCAGGAGAGGCTTGTAACTCAGGGACTACTGTACTGCAGTGCCACCGCAGCAGCCCAAAGCTAAACAATCTAGAACCAACCTCTCCCTCCCTGCTCCAGCTCTAGACACAACCGTGTTCAGGCTCAAGGCTAAGGCTTTTAAAGTGCAGTTTAACAAAGTAAAAGAAGCAAAACATTTATCAAGAAATGTTCACCCGATATGGATAAAAATACCCTCAAATTAAAGCTGAAAGGCTGCACTTTAACCTTATAGTTATCATTTCATCCAAAGTGCTGGAGTACAGAGCCAAAACAACAACAAAATGTGTCACTGTCGCAATACCTCTGTAGCTCACTGTAGCACTTCATTAAAACTATCAACTAAATGGAGAAATTTAGGAAATTGTTATTACAACCTGTCATATACAACAGGTTGTAAAATTAATTTGATACAATCATAGCCATAGACTGGTACAGTAGGATTAAGGCAGCCTTTTGTTTCTGTAAATTATTTGTAAATGTTTTGCAGGACAAAACATTCCAACTTTGGCTACAATATTGGCTACTATCCCAAATGGGTCAACTTAAAACTTGCAATGCAAAGCACTGCAGCATGTTGAAAATGACATGTGGGAAGTGGCCCTCAGCTAATAAAGAAGAAACATGTTATATAGTCCCCAATTCTCACTGCGGTGGAGACAGTTGGGCTCCTGGAACAAAGCCCTAATCCAGGGAGCCTCTTCACCAGAGCTCCCCAACAACATGAGGGCCTGGTCAGTTCCACTTTAGGGGCCATGTAGTGGAGAGTCCCACGCAATAGATTGTAAAGTGGTAGCTCATGCTGGGGTTTTATTGGCGTAGTCAGTATAAAAGTTTGGGCTGGTAAAAGGAGGACTCGTTGTACGGTAGGGGCCCAGACTCCGTCATACAGGACAGAAGCCCCTGGAGGGGAGAGGAAAGCCCCATGGACTTGATGCTGGCTGCCGTAGCGATGCGGCGTACGGGCACTGTTGGTTGCTAGGGGAACAGGGCCTAAACATAGAGCGACCAGGCAATTAAAGCAGCATTCCTTCCTCTTAGATAATGGGCCGTTAAAACTTTTTAACAGGAGGATAAAAATGTCAGCGCATGGAAAAGGCGGAGAGGAGCCGAAGAGGGAGCCGGGACCGGGCCAGGGTGCAGATGGGCCCGGGGAGCAACAGGGCATCCAGGGGGTCCGCGTCGCGACCTAGCGCCGTCCCGACGGCAAGCGGCTGCCCTCAAAGAGACAGCAGAGCCAGCCCACTGAGCCAAGTGCTACTGTTTGGGCCCTTCTTCCAACCGTTGGTTCCCTTCAACTCCCAAAGGCCCAGTTACAGCAGCAGCTTATTCACTTATTGGGAAGAGAGAGAGGGCATAAACAGTCCCAGCCAGGGAAAGTGGCAGTTGATTGTGGAATTATATTTTCCCATAGGATACATCTGCATGTCTGTGGTTAGGATGAAAGGCACCTAAACTACCAACAACCTAATGACATTATTTCTATACTATGTTTCCAAAACAATACTTGCATAGTTTCCTAATGATCCTAACTATTGTATAGCTAAGTGGTTTAAATACTTTTGGTTTAAGAGACTAGATAAGACATGATTTTGAAGGCTTTTCTCACTTGTCTCTGCTTCTCTACCTGTGGGTGTATGGTTTATTTCTTGTTGCTGTTCTTGATGTTGTTGTTATTGTTGTTGCTGTTGATGGTGTGTATGTCTTTGTATTATTTTGTGTATATGTGCCTTTCAGTGTGAATACTGTGTGTGTGTGCGCACGCAAGTTTACATGCATGTGTGTGTTTGTGACTGCATCCATCTGTATGTGTGTCTATTCTGCAGCCCCTGTAGTGCAGGGTTTTCCGTTAGGAAAATGTGGTGCCAGACAACGTGACCGGGAAGATTTTAATTTACCGGCCATTTGAGAAATTTACCAGACCCATATGTATTGGGTGCATAACCCATTAGGGCGTCCACCCACGGTGCTCAGAATGACAGAAATCACATTTAGATGATGGTAATGCATCTTAACAAAACATGCAACTCATGTAATGAAGCAGACAATAAAACGTCATTTTCAAACATTTGCCAAAATGCAATTAACGGGAAAACACCATTCTAAACAGCACACCTGATAGCGGTTCCATATGTGACAGAGATGAAAATCTCTGTTAGAAAAGAGGGGGATGGGTTGCTAATATGACTAGGATTGTGCCTTTGACTTCTGGACAACGAAAGAAAGTTGATATGAAAACCAATAGAACAGGAGAGAAATGGCATAGCGGTGGGTTCAATAGGGAGGTAAATGGAAATAATAGTTTGTAGGTCTATGCCTATTTGGGCAGAGCGCCTGGCAATAGGCTAGCTGATTATTGAACAGCGGCTGTTAGTGAAAAGCATCTAAAATATGTGTGATGATAATGTCTTGAGTACAATTTAAAATGTTGAGACAAGAAGAAAGGGAGGGGTGTATGGCGAAGATATAGACGAGTCTCTCTCCAGAATGGCTCAGCTGTCTCACGCTAATTCTTGTGCATTCATTGTTTCATTGTGTGAAATGTTTGCCCTTTGAGTTTTGATTTATTTAATCAATTCCCCATTCCATATGTCACCAATAGTAAATGTACCATTCATTTAGAATTGTTGCGCAATGAATGGAGTTATAAAAGCACATGTTTTACTCCAGCAGCAACCAGCTGAGGAGCAGCAGGAGAAGTCTCGCTCAAAATAGGCTCTTTATGCTGTGCGAGTGTGATAGTTGTGTTGGACACAGGCACATTTAATTCCACTAAATTAAGAAAATTAACCTATTGACCGATAAGCATGATGGTGAAATTTATTTCCATCAACTGGTATTTTCATCAATGAATAAAAAGCATTATTTTAAGACAGTTAAAACATCCAAAACCCTGCTACTGTGGGACATGCCCCTCTCCCTCTCACTCCTCCTCTCATAATTTCAAGGTCACCTCTGCTCTCCCTCTCCCAGCGGACCACCAATCCATCGTCCCCCCTCCCCCCCCCGACAGAGAAGGGCACACAGCACACAGAACAAAATAGAGCAACACAACACACCAGAGGCTTACCAGAATACCTGCACAAATAAAGGAGGCCATCCTCTCTCTTAAATAAAAAGAAAAATGTCATTTCAATGCCACATTCTTTCTGAAATCAAAGGTAGACCAGCTGAAAGCAGCCGTCTGTCTGACAGGAGAAGGAGACAGGATTCAGGCTGGCCCTCTGGGTAAAGCAATGACGACAAAGTGTTAGTGGAAAACCCCCACTGACACTAAGGCAGTCCACTGCGGCATGCTGGCCCAGCTAGCTTAGAAATGGCCTTCAACAAACCCGACTATGAAAAGGGATGCCCGCCACAAAAGAAGTATGGAGGATTCAGCAGTAGGGCAGCCAAAACTTGGTAGAGCCCAAGCCACTGATGTATATATTTGTTGAAGCGTGGGGAGCCATGGGGCCAATGAAAGCCCAGTCTAGACAAAGAGGGGATAGCAAATGAAGGTAAATTAGAAATGGAGATGAGAGAGAATTAGAGAGAGGGGGGGAGGGGGGAGAGGAGAGGGTGAGAGAGAGGAAGAGAGTGAGGAGCGAAAGAGACAGAGAGAGGGAGAGAGAGGGGGGGAGAGGGGGAGAGAGAGGAAGAGAGTGAGGAGCGAAAGAGACAGAGAGAGGGAGAGAGAGGGGGGAGAGGGGGGAGAGGGGGAGAGAGAGGAAGAGAGTGAGGAGTAAAAGAGACAGAGAGAGGGAGGGAGAGAGAGGGGGGAGAGGGGGAGAGAGAGGAAGAGAGTGAGGAGCGAAAGAGAGAGCGAGGGAGGGAGAGAGAGAGAGAGTGAGAGGATGAAGGAGAGTGAGAGAGAAGGAATGAAAAAGAGGGTGAGAGGGAGAGAATTGCAGAGAAAGAGAAAGTAAGAGGGAGAGAGAGAAAAAGCCAGAATGGAGGAGAGGGGCAGCGTCCTGTAGGTCTCATAGAGAAACAGTCTTTGATGCTGGACTAATGGTGAGAATTAATAGGTAGCCATGGGAGTGCGGGACGTTCCACTCGCTCCACTTCCCCAGAATAGGAAAAGAGCCTAGTTATACGGTCGGGCTGCATAGCAATGGAGCAGCCACTCCTGCACTTGTAAAAACAGCTCTGCGGCCAGCATAGAGCCAGACAGGCAGGCATGCTGAGATCCAGCTCCAGGAATGGGAAGGGAAGGGACACTACAAGCCCTTCACAGTAGGGGCTCCAGGCAGGAGAAAGAGAGGCTTCTCTTTTCACACGACTGCCTATAGCCAGCCATGGCACACCATATCATATAATGGGAAACATTTAAGAATACAAATAATCTATCAACGCTTATAGAAAATAACCAGAAATAGAAATAACAGTCATAGTCCTGTGTGCCGTGTATAAAACAAGCACCTGATACTCTCCATGGCAACACAGATAAAGGAGTTTGATAAATTAGGGACAATTAGCTGCTACTCTGTTAAAGCAAGTGGGTTACATGTCCCCTGGTGATGAAGAATGTTTCAAGTCAGGGATCACTGGCACCTATCTCAGCTTCTCTCATACAAAAATAATGTAGCCGCAGTGAAGCAGCAAAACTATGATGCCACCATGTGTAATGGATTTGATCATATTTATGGCAAAATTCCTGCTGCAGTTATGGCCTGGACATGAAATCAAATGTCCTGACGTACACATGTCGTGTTCTGCCTCCAAATGCTATAATAGAATGTGTCTCAAAAACTGTGCCTAAAGCTAAAGTAAATTAAAAACTCTTGTGTACGTGCATGTGTGTGTGTGTTTGCGTGCGCGTGTGTGCCTATATTCATGCTTGAGTGTGTGCATGCGTCTGTATGTGTGTGTGCACATGCGTCTGGGTGTGTGTCTGTGTGCGTGTGTGTGTGTGTGTGTGTTAGATGAGATGAGAGACCCTGCCAGCAAGTCTCATTGCACAAGGGCAAACAACCCCCCTGGGAAGCTAATGAAAGCTCCAAACACAGGAAGTGGTTTTCAATGACGAAGTAAACATTTCCAGGAATGGCAAAGATAGTCATGTTCTACAGTAAAGGGAAGAGATTATTAGGAATTCATTGGTCATCCCAATGGTCAGGTAGCTGACTAGAAATGACTGGATGTGAATTTAGTGGTAAACGTCCAGTGTAATATTGCAAACAAAGGACATTTAGTTATATTATCTGATTAATCAACAGAATGTATATGTAGCTATGGTAACCATGTTTGAAAGAGCTGAGGAAAATTATGTGCTAGACACTTGTCAGCCAACAACCCACTTCAAGACTATAGCACATTGATTGGTATGATTAGTGTATACCACACAATTCTCATGGCCCTCTCCAAGATCTCTGTAAACCTGATATCCTGAGACTACATCGATGAGAGTGCAGTAACCAAGTAATTGTGGGTACTGTGTCATGCGCTGCCAAGGCCTTGTGTCATGAAGCATCTGTCATTTGATCAGTTTGATTGTGTGATTGGGAGTGTGAGGTCATTAAAATAATATCTGTTCTCGTCTCTCTGATGAAAGGCTCTAATGGGTTCCCACAGAACATCTGCTCTAGGAGATTATAATCATCAGTGTAGGTATAGAACAACCATATACACGCTGCATGCTACAATAAATACCTATTTTCTCTACAATATTATGTTACGTTTTGGTGTAATGAATGTTGAAAAATCAGCAGTTTGCCAGTTAAACAAGTAGACAGTCTGAAATGGAATATAGCCCATCAGTGTACACCATAGGTACTGTCATACTGGATATTTTAAAACATACTGAAACTAAAATTATAGATGTCTGAGTTGACTGAGCAGCACGGAATTCCTGAAGGAGGCATTCCCATCTGCCAGACTCAATCTCACACACATATGTGGGTAGCAGGGACCCTGTTATCCCCCCCCCCCCCCCCAAAAAAAAAGAAAACCACAAATAAGTGGAACCCTCACTGACCTGAATGGCATTCCTATCAACCGCTAAGCACCTTGGCTGGTCTTTCAAAGACTTTATGTCTTGACTGGGAAGAAATGTTTGGGGAGAATAAATTAACTGTTACATTCTGTCCAGCGAAACGATGGGAGCCTTTATTTGGACGGAGAGTTGTTCATTCCTTTCATGGGGGGGGGGGGGGGGGGGGGGGGTCTAATAAGAGACAGCCAGGCAAGCAGCAGACACCTTGTCATTAGCTGTGGAGGCTGGCAGCTCCCTGCTGCCTAATTGGCAAAGCTCTCTACTAACAAGGGCTCTCAGCCAGCAGGGGAATAGCCTGATAGTGCCCAGCCCCTGCCCCAGCCCAGCTGCAACGTCCCTTATCAGCCTCTCCATTCCCTAACTCACCCGGGGAACACCTGATCCAATGATGAAAGGAATGGGAAGCTGATGTCTTTTTAATGAGGGTGATAGAACTCATGAGCTAACTGCACCCCAGGCCTAGCGCGTGTAAGAGGAGGGCTGGCCAGGGCCGTATTTAGGAAGTACTGAGGGTCTCCTCTAAGCAGACTTGGTAAAGACACTCAATAATATTTCATGTTTAATTCCATATTTTCTCTCTATGACTTTTAGTGTAGCCTTTGACACTTAAACATCATTTTTCAATAAGCAAGAATGTTAATGCTGAGGATGAGTCAGGGTTATTGTTCAATAACTCGGCGGACTGGCTTCCTCCTTCACTTCCCTTTTCCTCTTAGCACACACTGTTGTAATAATAATAAGCAGATGTTCCGAATGTTTTTTCTAGAATAATGAAAAAATGACAGGGCGGTGATCTGTTGAGTGAGTGAGTTTGTAGATGTATGGCAGCTTTAATCTCTCCGTCCAAATGGAGCTCATCTGGAAGCAATGAAACCAATATTAACATGACAAATGGAACATTAACAGGGTACTTTATCGAGAGAGAGCGAAAGAGAGGGAGAGAGACAGACAGAGAGAGAGAGAGAGAGAGAGAGAGAGAGAGAGAGAGAGAGAGAGAGAGAGAGAGAGAGAGAGAGAGAGCTAGGTGCCTGGTCCTGAGGATGGTATCGCAGACAGACAGACAGACAGCACTGGAGCTGAGGGGGCAGTCCCTTCCCAATGAAACACACGATCCAGCCATTTACTACACTCAAATAACACTGTGCTTATGAAATGTAAACATTCACAGTTCACTAGGCCAGATTGATCTCATAAACCATGCTTCCAAGATCCCTGGCCTTCTATACTGATGACTACATTTTCGCTGAACAATAGGGTAAAATGGCATCTTGTGAAAGAGGCCTTGTGGCTTTCTGATAGCACAGTTCATCTCAATGTCAGGGTAAGACGTATTCAGTGATAATAATCTTGTAATTCATGAATTGACATGCTACCCAAACTAAAAGCATGATAATAGTACTTATCAGTCAAGTTGATGAGGGGATTTCATTGCTGCTGTTCCTCTACAGGTATCTACAGTGTCTTCAGAAAGTATTCATACGCCTTGACTTATTCCACATTTTCTTTTGTTACAGCCTGAATGCAAAATGGGTCAAACTAAAAATAATAATCTCACCCATCTACACACAATACCCCACAATGGCAAAGTGAAAACATGTTTTTAGAAATGTTTGCAAATGTATTGAAAATTAAATACAGAAATATCACATTTACATAAGTATTCACACCCCTGAGTCAATATATGTTAGAATCACCTTTGGCAGGGATTACAGCTGTGAGTCTTTCTGGGTAAGTCTCTAAGAGTTTTGCACACCTGGATTGTACAATATTTGCACATTATTCATTTAAAAATTCTTCAAGCTCTGTCAAGTTGATTGTTGATCATTGCTAGACAGCCATTTTCAAGTCTTGCCATAGATTTTCACGCTGATTTAAGTCAAAACTGTAAGCAATTCCGGTGTATATTTGGCCTTGTGTTTTAGGTTATTGTCCTGCTGAAAGGTGAATTTATCTCCCAGTGTCTGTTGGAAAAAAGACTGAATCAGGTTTTCCTCTAGGATTTTGCCTGTGCTCAGCTCTATTCCATTTCTTTTTATTCTAAACAACTCCCTAGTCCTTACTTATGACAAGCATACCCATAACATGATGCAGCCAACACCATTGCTTGAAAATATGAAGAGTGGAACTCAGTAATTTGTTGTAATGTTTTTTCCCCAAACATAACGCTTTGATTCAGGACGTATTTTGCAGTATTAATTTAGTGCCTTGTTGCAAACAGGATACATGTTTTGTACAGGCTTCCTTCTTTTCACTCTATCATTTAGTTTAGTATTGTGGAGTAACTACAATGTTGTTGATCCATCCTCAGTTTTCTCCTATCACAGCCATTAAACACTGTAACTGAGGCTTGCCATAACAAAGGAGTTGAATACTTATTGACTCAAGACATTTCAGCTCTAATTTTTTATTAATTTGTAAAAATGTCTAAAAACATAATTCCACTTTGACATTATGGGGTATTGTGTGTAGGCCAGTGACACACAATCTCAATTTAATCCATTTTAAATTCAGGCTGTAACACAACAAAATGTGAAAAAAAGTCCAGGGGTGTGAATAATTTCTGAAGGCACTGTATATGTATGGCTCTGAACAGATTGGCTCCACGCCTTCCCTTCTCTGACACATCCATCCCAATTCCAAAGGAAAGCTCCATAAACAAGTATTGTTCCCGCTTCTGGCTACACAATTAATCTTTCTTTCTTTATCTCAGCTGTCCCGAGGCCATTCATACAACTGATGCTTTAAAAAAGCTGCCAGACTCTGCCAGATCAGATCGGTCCAATTTGAAAAGGACTGAAAAGAACAACACACAGCTTTCCTTACAGCTCAGGTGTTTTCTAACCACTCATACTTTTACCTTTGTTCACCTTTGTTGCAGGGCAGGCCTGCTAGGGCGGATCCTGATGTCAAAGACCCGGTTTGATTCCCTATCATATCAGACCAGTCACAGAATACATACCTGTAGGCCTGCAGTATTGCTACAGTATGTGTACATCCCAAATAGCACCCTTTTCCTTATATAGTGCACTACTTTTGACCAGATCCCTATGGGTGCACTATATAGGGAATATTGTGGCATTTGGGACTCAGCCTATAGCCTATGACTTGTAGTAAAACCCTAAACAAGGCTTACTGAAAATTCACCATCTGCAGTGTAAATGATACTTTCCCTGAATGGAACCAAAATGAGGTCATGACCCCAACAGTTTAAAGTCCCCCCTCAGGTCAGAGAGCAGGACTAATGAGCTCATACTGGTATCCTCTCTTGCACCATAAATGGAATGTGTGTGTGTTGAGGATGCAAGGCTAACCTTTGGGCCTTTGGATGCAGGTGTGCTGGTTGTCGCTCAGGAAGAATCCTTCTCTGCAGCGGCACTCGTAGCTGCCCATCATGTTGACACAGATCTGCTGACAACCACCATTACCCTCCGAACACTCATCCACATCTGCAATGAAACAGGAAGAGAGAACAATCATTACTATCATTGCACCGAAATGGGTCCAGGAATGAGGAGATAGACCATTAGTGTCAATTGGAATAAGGGATCTTCTTCTGCAGTTACTTTTTTGCACCCAGTCAGTTAGATTTTACTGAAGGAAACTATATATGATGATATGACAGCAACATAACAAAACGCAAGTTTGTTGGCATGGAAGGGTTGACACAGGAGAATACAAGAGTTCATGATCATTTCTGAAAAAGTATGAGTCTAATAACATTCATATCAATGCAATAGAACCAAGGGAGTGGTTTTCAGCAGTGCAAACTGCAGAGGTCATAAAATGAGGGGGAGATATGAGACATAGTCAAGAGAAGCCAGAGGGGGATGTCTAAAGGTGTCTGAAGAGTTGGTGTCTCAGTTAATAGTTATCTGGCGTGGCAGCAGACGGAGCGGAGGGCTAACGGTTTGAAAGCCTCCAACTGTGTAGCACTAAGCCTAAGCAGCACAATCCTCTGGCAACTGTGGTAACCTGATCCACCTGGAACAGAGTACCTGTCGATGACGAGCGTCTGTCAGCCCCTCCACTGAAAGAATGCCAGGAGAGGAGGGAAAAGAGTGAGAAGAAACGGAGGGGAGGAGAGGGAGTGGAAGGAGAAGGTGAGAGAGGGGAGAGGGAGGAAGGGGAAGGAGGGGGTAATGAAAGGGAGGGAGGAGAGGAGAGGAGTGCAGAGGGAGTTGAGGCACTTGAAGCCTAGTGAAGTGCAGCACACAGCAGCAATCTGTACAGAGGTATCTCCTGAGGCTATGCTTTGCCACTGGGCGTAGAGCCGTAGACTAATGAGTAGGTACTAACCGGTAGGTGCTGACATAGCATTTAATCCCATTGAGACTTCATTGGGCCCCTTACTCTACGTAAGATACTACTAAAGGTGTTCGGTACTCTCTGTCTGAAGCCAACTGAGACTACACCCAATCAGTGTTAACAGCACAACATCTATTCATTAACAACTTGTTAAAAACGTCAGAGCACACCAGTAACTACATGGGGTATCGGACCATAGAGAAACCAGATGTAAACTCTTTTGAATGTATAGCATCAAGCCACCATCCTTACGGTGGGAAAAATCCAAACATAGCCCTAAAATGATTTAACAGTATCAAATTAAAGACATTTGGGGCCATCCATTAATCTTTGAAGACCTTTTAAATGGAAGGTCTTGCACAGTGTCATACAATATTATATACAGTATATTTTTTATTTAACCTTTATTTAACCAGGAAGTCCCATTGAGGTCAGAAGACCTCTTTCCCAAGAGAGACCTGTCTACAGGATTAGATGTTAGTAATGTTACCAGCCATCCCAGCATTCCCTATGCGTGACAGTGCCTTGGCTTGGCCTCCTCCTCCCCTGGAGACCTGTGCTCTGTCCCTGACAACGGACAGCGCTGGAACCCTATCCATCACCATGCTCAGCGCATCAATAATCTGCTGTATACACAAGGCTTTTTTTAATAAACCGTCATGCGAAACAGATTTTCTGTCTATTTGTCCAGTCTGAGAACGCCTCTGGATTAAGTTTCCTTTCTGGGGGATACTCAGCTCAGCATAGTTAGAAATTAAACTTCACTCTGTCCTCCTCTCTTTCACACAGACATAGACACACACCGATGCACACACACATGCATGCAAACACACACCTCCAACTCCAGAGTGATCCCTTGAGTGATGTCATAGTGGAACCTGACTAGACAGAAACCTCTGGGGTAGCTAAGTGGGTTAGTGGCGTGTGACCCTCCTGACCTCCAGGTCTAGTCCATCAGCACCGCTGCCTGCCTCCTCTCAAAACAATGTCATCATGTCACTCAGGCCCACTGAGAAAACCTGAGCACTATCGCTGGCCAGGTGACGTGTCTGTCCCTGCATTCTTGAAAAGAGATGCTAAATAAAGTTAGTGTTATAAGTACCGACCGGAAGGCCTATGAAGGTTGAAGTTGGAGCTGTTTCAGAGTGAAGTGTACTCCATTTGAGCAGCAGAGCTGCAATCCACCACAGCCTCAGTGCAGATGCTTTGGCTTTAACTTAACAGTCTTTCTCCACAGTGAAAGAAAGGGAGAGTGGCAGGGGTAACACCTTTCAGCTTAGCTGCAAGGAACCTGCAGCTGCACCTTTGCAGATAAACCGTAAAGTCAAACACCAACCTGTATGACACACACACCCAAATAAACACACACCAAAATAAGTGGGCACACACACAGACACATAGATAGAGAGAAATAAACGCATGACACATGCATGAATACACACCAAACAAGCAGTCAGCCACAAAAAGCCAATCAGGAATTCTCTTTCCAAACCTCCAGCGCATCAATGAAGGTTTCATTTCCTGATTCCTTCATCCCTCCAAATGAGGCGTTGCCTGTCAGTAGATCTCTCCTGTTCAAATAGCTGCAATAATTGCCTGTGTTGTGTGCTAGGCAAGGCTGGCGTCCAAAGCAAATATTTCCAAGCGGAAAGGGATTCTGGCACGGCCAGGAGAAGTGATCATGTTATTTGAACTTAAAATGTTTTTTTTTTTTTTATTATCTTGAGAGGATGGAAAAAATGTCTTAATCAAGTTAAAAGGGCTGCCTCAGTTATGAAAAATGAGATCTCTCCCTCTATCCCTCGCTTTGCTGCGAGGAGGAGAGGGGAAAAAGGGAAGATTCAAACAGAGGGAGATTAAGAGATTGGTTGTGTTTGCAGAGGCCATGTCCGCTGGTTTCTCAGATAGCCTTGACTGTATATATAACATTTGGCCTTGTGCTGAGCTTCGGAGCCGTGTAAACATGGCGGTTGAGTTACAGAAACTCCTCAACCCTTATTTTGGAGACGCGCTCATGTCTTTTTCTAAAAGGGTTCAGTTACTCTCGGGACATTTATTGCTGACCCAGCACCAGTGTATTGAGGGGAAAATAAAAAACGATGTGGATCTCCTCCACAGTGCTGACCAAGAGTTGTGCTTCCACAGACCCAACAGACAGGCAGGCAGACAGACAGGCAGACAGACAGACATATCTTTGGGGTCCAGACCAGAGCAGACAGCCCAGAGACATGAGGTGAAATCTCACTGTTTGTGCTTTTCCTTTACAGGGGTATAAGAAACACACACTCCCTAATAAGGCAGCAATAAGGGCCAGGCTGAAGGCAGCACACAAACAGCATGCTGTGCTGCCTGAGCTGCCCTGGTAGGTGAGGGAGACATTATGAGGATAAACATCCCATTGGCTTTGCCGAGCATCGGTAGGTGGGAGGAGGGAGGGAGGGACGGGAGCATAGAGAGCTAGTCCCAAATTAAAACAAGATCCTTTATTTTTTAAACAGGATTAGGGGATTTCCTCTTTCCTCTCCGTTGCCCCTGGAGTTCAATGACATGGCTCGTTCTTTCCACCCTCTTGACTGAACAGTGACCACGGCGCCAGGTTTGAACTGAGCCGAGGCGCTCTGAGAGGAGCCCTGAGTGCACACAGACACTGGCCACGCGTAAACAAACACGTAGCGCTTATCAGGCACATGTCAGCAGGAGGTTGCACAAGTGAATGTGTTGCCTGAGCACAAACACTCTCTGTCTATTAGGTGGGTGGTTGAGAAACTAAACTCTGAGCAGTGGGAGAGCTACTAGACTAGAGATACTTTTTATCGGTTAGACAATGCACTTCCTTAGGTTAAGCCAATGTGTAGGTGTTATTCAAGCTGATTTAAACCTGACTAGCCCGACCACAACACACAGACACAAACAAAGCCTTTGCTTAGGCTGCATTTTTATTTGAATTCTTAAAAGTCTAAGCCGTTGGGTGGAGGGGGGGGGGGTTCTAAGCTGACATATGGAATTGTTTTAAGATGGTCATACTATGGATCATTTAGCTATTTGATTTTGAATTTAGGTATAAAAAATATATAACAAATTATTTGATAAAATATTGAATTTGGCCTTTACCCAGAGAAAACGCATTGAATAAAACATTCATAAATGGCATAAAAGACAGTGAAAAACAAAATCATAAGAAACAAGATTTTGAAGTGTTTGTCCTTTATCTAGGAGATATAAGAAAGCTCAGGAAATATATATATTTACAGTACCAGTCAAAAGTTTGACACACCTACACATTCAAGGGTTTATTCTTTATTTTTATTATTTTCTACACTGTAGAATAATAGTGAAGACATCAAAACTATGAAATAACACATATGGAATCATGTAGTAACCAAAAAAGTGTTAAACAAATATATTTGAGATTCTTCAAAGTAGCCACCCTTTGCCTTGATGACAGCTCTGCACACTCTTGGTATTCTCTCAACCAGCTTCACCTGTAATGCTTTTCCAACAGTCTTGAAAGAGTTGCCACATATGCTGAGCACTTGTTAGCTGCTTTTCCTTTATGTGTGGTTCCCATTGTGAAGCATGGAGGAGGAGGTGTGATGGTGTGGTGACACTGTCTGTGATTTATTTAGAATTCAAGGCACACTTAACCAGCATGGCAACCACAGCATTTGCTGCAGCAATACGCCATCCCATCTGGTTTGCGCTTAGTGGGACTATCATTTGTTTTCAACAGGACAATGACCCAACACACCTCCAGGCTGTGTAAGGGCTATTTGACCAAGAAGGAGAGTGATGGAGTGCTGCATCAGATGACCTAGCCTCCACAATCACCCAACCTCAACCCAATTGAGATGGTTTGGGATGAGTTGGACCGCAGAGTGAAGGAAAAGCAGCCAACAAGTGCTCAGCATAGGCGGATGCGGTGGATTGAGATGCATCCAATGCAAAACTGATGGATTTTGATTGGGATTTTTTTATTATGCTACTTAGATTGACTCTAGGGGGATAATTCAGTGGAACCGTTTATTGTCATACTAACACGATATAAACAAAGCTAATGCTGCTTTGATCGAAGCCCAGTCTCCAACGATGCACTCGTCGCTCAGGTAACAGTTTTTGGTAAATATACACAGAGAAAACCTGAACTTCCACTGTCTCACTCGGTTATTCCATAATAAAAAAGTTACTTTGGTCATACCAAATGGTATTCCTCTGTTCCTTCAAAACAAGTTGAAGTATTTTAAAAACAAACCCCAGAATGTGTGTTTGGGTGGACAGGCTCGTGCCAAGAAGACAAGAGGCTCTGACGTCTGCAGCCTGACGGCTCGCTGTCTGCTGGATGCTTACATCCATAAAGCCCAATCCCAGGCTTGAGTTTCCCCCCAAGCCCTGCCAGTCGGTTCAGATGGAATTCTTAATTTCATGGTGGATGGGGCCGAACAATCCTGAGGGAGAGAGAGTGTTGATATACTCTTCAGGAGCTAGCTAATGCACCAAACCCAAATCCTCCTTCTCCCTTACAACTCATCACTCCACCCTCCACCTTCCATCTCCCCTACCTGGACTGTGGAAAGCCTCTCTGCCAAAACCTGATCTGTGCGTGTTACAACAACAGAAAAGTGATTGCACTCTGGGGAGAGAATGGTATCTGACCAGAGTGCTCTGGGTATCTACATCTGCAATGGAGAGATGGTGGAGGGGAGGGTTATTACTAAGCTCCCAGAGAACCTGGGATTTGTGATTTCCCCTGGATCAAACCAGAGGAGTGATGTCCTTTACTTTACCAGAGCATCATTATCTGGGCCCCCTCTCAGACAGCCACCATATTGACACACATAGGGGAACAATGAGGTTAAGGTCATCTCCTCATGTCCAGGAAAGAATCAAATACGATCTGTTGAGAGTGAGGGGTGGTGATGGGTGATGGGGGATGGGGGGGGGGGGGGGGGGGGGGGGGGGTTATTACACTACCATTAAATTGTAACAAGTGCACTTAAAAGTGTTGCATTAAAGGGTGCTTGCTTCAAAGAATGAGGATGTAGCGAATCAACGTGAGGCTCTCTGATGACTGCACTTTAACAACAGCCCCCTGGTCAATAATACATCAGGCTGAATCCTGGCAGTTTGATTAGCCAGCCTTAGAACAAAATCCCTGGGGATTAGAGGTATACAGGCTCAACCAAGCGATCACTCAAAGCTGTCACACTAGATTGGGGAGAAAACAACGTTTTTCCACTTAGTCAGAGGGGCCGTTGCCATGGGAATGGGATTATCACATAAGATAATACGGAAATCACATACAACTTTGGTTTGAACAGTGAATACTATGACACAAATTCATGCTCTTCACTGACATAAACTTGTATTAGTATGATGTGAAGCATCTACCAGCTCAGCTGGTAGAGCACGGCGCTTGTAACGCCAAGGTAGTGGGTTCGATCCCCGGGACCACCCATACACAAAAAAATAAATGTATGCACGCATGACTGTAAGTCGCTTTGGATAAAAGCGTCTGCTAAATGGCATATTATATTATTATTATTATAAGCATTATGCAAAGCCTTTATAAACAGTGTTTAACAAATAAAGTGTACCACAGTAATAGTATTGATATTGTTGCTGAGATGATCTTTTGAGTGAGCATAAATTGTGTGAGTCCTGAGGATCTGCTCCTACAACTGACAGGACGATACCAGAGAGAGAGAGACAAAGACAGAGACAGAGACAGCGACAGAGACAGAGACAGAGACAGAGAGAGAGATAGAAAGAGAGAGAGAGAGAAGAGAGAGAAGAGAGAGAGAGAAGAGAGAGAGAGAGATAAAGAGAGAAATAGAGAGAGAGAGAGATAGAGGAGAGAGAGAGAGAAAGAAGAGAGTAGACAGAGAGATTAGAGAGATAAAGAGAGGAGTAAATTAGAGAGAGATAGGATGATCATAAGCTAGAGCAAAAGAGATAGAAGAGGCTAGTGTTCTGGATGTATACTTACTGCCTATGATATCATCGCGCGATGTCCACTGGAGATTGCGGACAGGGGAGCACCTGCTTTGGAGACATTGCTGTCGATGAATAAGAAACCGACTAGACAGCTGGCCACTGGCGGGACAGGACCTGAATCATTACTGCACACTGCTTTGGAGACATTGCTGCCTTCCACACATCCATCTGTGGCGTGTGGTTCTATTCTGGGTCTGCCATTGTTTATCTGTGGGCTTTCAGGCTCTGTGGTGGTGGTGGTAGGGTAGGAGCAGGGGCGGCCATGTTTTGGCAGTGCTTTTTCCATTCAGAGAACACAGACAGACAGGGCATCTGTGTTTTATTTGTCTATGTCCATTCTGCTGTGCTGTGTCTCTCTTTGACCTGGCCATGCGTGACATAATATCAGTAATGTGATCCCCTATAATGTTTTTCTGCCGGGGCCAAAGGTTAGTAAAGATGTGATTTGTGGTTTGCTAGCTGTAAATCCATCAGGGTGTATTTGCACAGATGTTAATGATATTTGGCACCACATAGCCCTACTTGAGTGATTCCAATGGACCATACCAATGATAAGAAGGAATTTAGGTTTCTAGAGGTCCTAAAAGAAAACACATAGCTCATAAATGTAGGGACATTTGCACTTTAGCGGGGAATAATGGACATCATGCATCTATGAATCGCTATAGGCTCCTTTTTAAGTGCCTAAAAAAGCCCTTCTGTCCCAAACACCATTATGAACTAGGTGTGGTAATTCAGTAAAGGTCTTCAAAACAAAAGCCATTTCACTCATAAAGAATATAATAACATTGTTTCTGCTTCACTACTTCACTGCAGTGTGCCTCTGTAGAGATCTCGAGACATCAGTGAATACAAGAGCGCACCATGAGGTAAATTATACAGCGACCAACAGCGACGTCTTACTCCACATGCACAGATTCACTGTGCTGTGACATCACATTGGTTCCACCTGAATTCCTGACTTCCTGATGTCTTTGTGAGGTGTCTAGGGCATTCAGGGGAGACAAGGGAGGCCACAGAAACCTGAGCAGCCCAGTGAGGCTACGGTCGACTGCACGCTCTGCCACCTGCCGCCCAACATCATTAACACTGCTAGAGCGGCCAATTACAAGGACATGTGGTGCGGGTCGGTCGGCAGGGGCCAGGAGAACGCCTTGTTAGCGACTCACAACTGACTAGGTATCCCCCTTTCCCCTTTGCCTGTCTATCCCAACCCGGCCCCTGGACTGATTAGCAGACACAGCACCCCCTGCTGGCTGGGGCCAGGGCCGTGTAAGAAAGGGCAACAGGAGAGGAGAGTAGGGGCCAGGGATGTGTGAGAGAGGAGTGAGGGAGTCAAAGCCAACCTAAGCATGTGGATCATCAACCTCATGTCTTATACAAGTGAACTTCGGAGGATCGGATCAGGTGGGTCTAGGAGTGAGTGACTCACTGATTACAGTGATACTGTCCAGGTATCAGTCTGCTCTCCAGCCCACTAGCCAGAGCCTCTATTAGGTCTGAGCTTCTCTGAGCACCATCTGCACAGCCACTCCAGTTACAGGCCAATAGAACTAATCTTATCGAAGGGGGCCAAAGGCGCTTAAACCTCTAGGAAGTTAAGGGGGAACATGAAACCGCCACAATGCCTCTTCCTCTCATGCTTCTGTGGTAAGAATGAATCACTTAGAATTCCAGAGCGGGGATGTATAAGACAGTTTTCTTCCCAAATCCTCCAAACTCTCATCAAGCCCAGAAGACTAGGCTAGGGTAATTGCTAGGAAAGAATAGGCGACACTAGAAAGCTAGAAACCTTTTCAGCACCATTTAGTTAATACTTGACCCACTCAAAATATTTGATCAAAAGAGTTCATCGCTAAATACATATGTTTTACTTTTGTTAATCGTTGAATGTGTGCAACAAAAATAAAAATATGTTTCATTGCGTGTGTTATTGTATTGTTTCTAAT